ACCATGAAGTCAGATAGAAGCACTTAGGAAGATGGACCCTGTTTAAACCACAGCATGTGCCCTGGAGGGACTGCTTACTCGTTTGTGAAGTATACCAATTGATGTATTTGACCCACGGGGGAAACCGTGGCGGGCTTCAGAACCCAGAATAGCTGTGTTCTTCCTAAAGGATGCTGTGCCTCACGTACATGATATTCTCTTCCTTGCTTTGGCTGCTAGGAAGTTGAGTCAAATTGAGGTCAGCTGCAGAAAAGCGGGCTATTATGGTCTTTATGGCATGTTTTCTGGATCTCAAGCTGCTGCTTGTTTTTCCTATCCTTTTAATATTTACCATCCCCCTTCTCCTCTCCCATATTAAGGAAAAATTTGTAAGCCGTCTTAAAATCCTTTTGGTAATGAGGTAGGGCAAAAATAATAAATATGCATATTGACATTTGCTTGGAAACCTAGAATGTAAATTCAAGGCACTAGCTCTTTATTCTGGTTAGACTTCAGATCACAATTAAATCATCCTCATATTCTTGTTGTCCTGGTAACTGCTCTCTACTTAGAGAACGTGGAGGGCGAGATTGCCCAAAAGGGTCTGGAAGGAGAGCAAGAGCTTATTAAGGAATTCTTTCTGATGTTCAAAAGCACACAAGCTGTGCCAGAATGGTAGCACGGAGTTGGAGAAAAGCCCTCCTTCAGGTTATCCCAATGGCTGCGATGTATTCGAGCTCTGCTGCCGTTAAGTGGCTGTGTACATTCTAAGAAGATTGGCTATGGCACACCAAAAATATTGACAATGAATAGTATTTCGGATATTCACAGATTGCAAATCCTCTTAAACGCATTCAATTCTAACAGATAAATTTAGACTTAGATGAACAGTAGCTAGAGGAATTTCTTAAAGTGTCAATTGGTGTGAATGAATAAAGATGGTTTTAAAGGAGCTATATTGCTTAGGGATTAAGGCCAACTGGAACAATTCGCTCAAAAAAAAGCAAGCCTGCAAGCTCAAGAGAGCAGCTCCCCTTTATTTGATTGAGGCACATACACTTCAATCCTTAGGACTCGTGTTGGCAGTCCTGATAGTTCGTCTCTCTCCATTTGTACAAAGAAGGTTTTTTAATTGTGCATAAATGGGAACTTGCAATTCCTGTAAGTGAGACAATGTTTGTAGCAATAACAAAGAGGAAAAAAATTTAAGTAGCAGTCATTTTTATTTTGGCTTAACAGATTTTAGCAGGAAGACTCTGAATATGAATAGGATTCATTTTTAAATCCTAAAGAGAATTTCTGCAGCAGCCCATAAGGTGCCACTTTAGTCAGAGGCAATTAAAAAGAGCCTAGAATAGCAAGAAAGAAAATCACAAAATTTGTTTGGACATTGTAGGAAAAAAAGTTACATTCCCACATCCTCCATGAGTCCATTTGCTTTTATACTCCTACATAAACCTCTTCCCAGTTCTCGGAGGTGAGAATGGGACAGGAGGTATGGTGTAAACAGGAAGAAAAGTCTATATTAAGATATTGCTTGTCATGTTTTAATTGGGACAATGTAAAGTGTGTTACAAGCACTTAACAAAAAGGATGGTGCCGACTTTCTTCCCTTAGGTGATTCTTCTCAAGAGTCGAATTCCAGTCCTTCCCTGATAATTTGGGCATCACTAGAAAAAAGTAGACACTTATTAGAAGTAACTTCTCGTTTTCTTTTTTTTTTATAGTCCTTAAGGATCACTGGAGAAGGCATTTTCAAACTTAAATTCTTTACAATACAGAGCAACCTGGAAACTACTAGAAATATGGTTTCTTTTTTTTTTTTTTTTTGGAGGAAGATTAGCCCTCAGCTAACTACTGCCAGTCCTCCTCTTTTTGCTGAGGAACCCTGGCTCTGAGCTAACATCCGTGCCCATCTTCCTCTAGTTTATACGTGGGACGCCTACCACAGCATGGCTGCCAAGCAGTGCCATGTCCGCACCCGGGATCCGAACCAGCGAACCCTGGGCCGCAGAGAAGCGGAATGTGCGAACTTAACCGCTACGCCACTAGGCCAGCCCCTAGAAATATGGTTTCTTGAAGAGAGATATCAACAACAGAGGGTACCCAGCTACTTGGATTTCCTGCAGGTACCACTTTTAAAGTGGCCTTCACCATGTTCTTCTAGCCTGTAACAAAGCTACTTAATGATGCATAAAACTAATTATTATAAAATAAGACTGAATCTGTATGGTAGCTGTTCACAATGTGGAAAATCACACTTTTTTATGGCCTATTTTCGTTGAAAATGTATGCCCTTTCCCCATCCTTAAAGCGTTCTGTATATGTAAAATAAATACTCTTCGCAGCAGGACACAGGATCGGAGGCCTTAAAACCCAATAAAAGATTCCTGTAGTTTAATGGTCCTTAAATGCTCGACATCTTTTTCACTTAATGTAAAATCCATCTGATCTAATAGCCGTGACTGAATTATAGATACATAATTTTTTTCTATTAAATGTTAATCTTCTGACTTGGCAGAGCAATAGAAGCTCTAAATTATTAAGAAGGCAATAACCTCTCTAAACTCTTTCCTGAATTCAGAATATTCCCAGGACTACTATCTTGAAAAAAAAATTGCAAACCTGTTTAAAATGTAAAATAAAAATCAGGCCCATTAAGTACAATTTGATGCCAAATATCAATTATAAGGAGCATTATTTTTATTGATATCTCCTGTATTATTTCACTGAATAGAATGTATATGTATGTATGTGTATACACACACACATATAAAACTGGGGAAGCAACCCTCACAAGTCTTGGCTCTTTTTCATTTACATATGACATTTTTGTAACCTTCCCTTTTTGGTTGAATTCATTCATCATCAATGTTTGTTCATGCAGGCATAAATAATGAAAATGGCCTCTAATGCATAAATGATGCCACATGCCCAATTATGCTAAACACAAGCACTCTCACTGCCCAGGGAGTCTTAACGGATTACCATCTCTGCTGCAGCTTTATCTTTTTTTTTCTAAATCTCTGCATTCATGACTCTTGTGAGCCAAAGGCCCATATACACAGTAAGAAACAGAAGCCAGGCTAAGAAGCAGGTTAATATTTACCTGGAGAGGCTGGTCTAGACAATCTTGTTTCAAACAGCCAAGGCCAAAACATGGGAAAGAACTTCCAACAACAAAGTCTCAGACCCAGTTTAGTGGGGAACATCACCGAATGAAACAAGGGCTGGAATGCCTATTTTCCATTTTGTATTTTGTGCATGATGTATTTTATGGTGCCATTTTTTTCTTTCTGAAAATTATTCATAATAATTGTTTTTTCCTCTCTCTGAAAATTATTCACAACATTTAGCAGCCTGGAGTAAGGTCCAGGTTCTTTTTCCCCTGCCAGTTGTATGCAGCCATATTTTTTGCACGCTCATCACAGACAATCCTCTTTCGATCCTTATTTTGGTGCCAGAGGTACTGCCATTACTTTGATGCATAGAACTTGCAAGAAGGAAGCAGCTCACCAAGAGGCTGCAGAATCCAGTGACGAGGAAAACAGAGAGGCGGTGAGAAGCAGTTTTCTTCCATCACGGTGGAGCAGATATCAAGAGAAGCTTGTAACCACTGTTACCTAATGGTTGGCATTAGTGTAAGCAGACACTAATATATCTAGTCATCATGGACACCAAAAACTAATTTAAAACTCTCTCCTTTTCTACTTTGAAACAAGTGAACTAAGAACATGAACCATTAGGCAGGTAAGAAGCATGTGTATGAAAACTGTTTTTAGGTCCTTGTTAGAAGAAAGGTGGTAACACTGGAGGAAAAGAAGTACTCATGTTCTAAAGTGCACGACTCTTAAAGATTTTAGTTTTTCCTTTTTCTCCCCAAATACATAGTTGTGTGTTTTTAGTTGTGGGGCCTTCTAGTTGTGGCATGTGGGATGCTGCCTCGACATGGCCTGATGAGCGGTGCCATGTCTGTGCCCAGGTTTCCAACCTGTGAAACCCTGGGCCATTGGAGCGGAGTGCATGAACTTAACCACATGGCCACGGGGCCAGACCCCCAAAGTGCAAGACTTTTAAAGCAGCAATGATCCAATGCATTTAGAAAAACAGAAAAATTTAAACAGTATAACATTTGGTTAGGGTCAAGAGAAAAGGTTTAAATAAAAAACAAGCCATAAGAGGGGCCAGCCCGGTGGCGTAGTGATCAAGCTGGCACAATCTGCTTTGGTGGCCCAGAGTTTGCAGGTTCTGATCTCAGGTGTGGACCTGCACACCGCTCATCAAGCCATGCTGTGGTAGCATCCCACACACAAAACAGAGGAAGACTGGCACAGATGTTAGCTCAGGGCCAGTCTTCCTTGCAAAAAAAAAAAAAATCCATAAGAAAGTTTAAGCTAAATTCATCTGGAATTTTATAACAGCACAGGTATAGCTAGTGATTAGAATCACTGTAATATTAAAATTTCAGATGTTCACTGCATGAATATTTGATTTTATTTTAATAGTTCTCTATAATACTGACCCTCTGTCAAAAGGAATGAGCTTTTCTGATGAAGCAGGAGTGATAAGAAAAAAACTAAACAATAGAATAGTAATAAAGCTTTCAGCAAAGGACTGTACTCCAAGAGGAATTCAGTGATTCTTTCAGAGAGCACTCAGATCTTAGACAACAACTGATCTTCCTTTCTCTTAGCCGTAAGTTCAGCCCTCCTATCTTTCTGAATATAGAACAGCAGAGAGACCAGCATCGCCCGTTATATGTGTTCCACTTGCTTACCATCTAAAAAGCTTTAGCCTTCACTGTTGTAAATGCAATCTTGCCTTTGACATCAAAAGGTGAGTGAAGGAGACAATGGGATTAACACAAGGAAGTTACTTGGTATTTCCCTCTACACAGCAAACTGAAAATGGCTATCATTATCTGTACTTTGGACCCTATCGATCTCTCTACCAAACTCTCCAAAGACAGCACATGGACTAGTTTACCTTGTAAATTTTTTACAAGGATGTTCAAAACAGTATTCCACTGAAAACATTTTATTGATGGTTGAAGACAAAATAAAATACACATAAGGTTCCCTTCCCACCCCTAATAAGGAAAATACCACACTGAGATGTGAGTATTCAGTTAAGAACTTTCTCTACTCTAGAGCTTCTACAGGTGACCTAATACTCATGAAACAGAACTCATGCTGAAGAAAAACATTAAATATAAAAATTAAAGAATCCAAATACTGCTTATGTAAACTGTGTCTATCTACCTAAAGAATTAAAAATAAATCCGATTCTGACTTTTCCCTGTTACACTGAAGAAATACAATGGCGTATTCTTTGCTGGGAAAAGCCACTTTGATGGTTCTCTGTCCTTGTTATCATACCAAGATGGGATCAAAAATTTGGTTCAGGATGCTCAAAGATTATCGTTAAGGCACATTTCGGAATTTAAAAAAACTTGGCTCAAATGACTCATTTGTTCAGTTTATTTGCTAACAGTCAAATTAGTAATTTTAATCTGAATGGTAACACAAAATGTTAATAAAAATAAAAAAACATATAAACTTTCCTTAATGAGATATAATTAATAAAAATGGTTGGTTACGATAGAGTATTTACTATAAACATGTCCAATTTTATTATTTTCTTGCTAACTATATTCTTACAGTTTACTACATTATTGCACGTTCGTCTAAAACCTTATAGAGGTTTTCTAAAATCAATTCTCTAATGCTAATTTTGCAAGAAAACTGCTTTTCACATTATTAATCTCATTAGTGCAATTTTCCTATAAATAAGCACAAAACATTTGGAGGACGCAAGTCTAACGAGTGCTTGGTTACTATAGTAGCAAATGTCAACATAATTGCTTTAAAAAGTCTAAAATTTTTGAGACTTTGAAAAACTTAGTATACCATTTATCACAGTTCTCTAAATACTGTGGCAACAAAAGTCACCACAAGTGAAAATTAAGATACTGTTGTGGAGATTATGAAGCAATTTTATTATAAACTCCTGGTATATACCACCCTTACCTTTCCTTAATTTAAGTTAGCACTGCAAACCCTTTATGAAAAGAAATATATTTAAATAGGCATAAAAGTTACTAGTGTAAGAAGAAAAAAGTCTGTACCTCCAAAAGAAGTCAAAGGCACTCATTAAGTTACTTCAATAAAAATGCACCTTGGCCAGCCAAGTCACAATGCACTCCTTGAACTGCAGCAGGTCTCACGGCTCAGCTGAAGATCTGAAAGATCTTTTGATCCACTTAAAAGTGGCTGCCAACCAAATTAATTTCTCTAAAAGCAATGTTTAAACAATTATTTCAGCTTAACCCCTCTTCATATGGACCCACGCAGATGGCTCATGTTTAATCAAGGACTCAATGGTTTAAAAATATGCAGCCAATCCAAGGCAAAGTGTTTGGTAGGCCTCACTGCAAAATTAACTAACATATGTATATAGAATATAAGATTTGAATTGATACTGAAAAACTCAGTAACAGGCTCATCTAATTAAAAAAACCTACTGATGGAACAAAATATATTTTATTTTAATTATACTAGCACAGTAAGACCCAGAAAGGCCATGGAGGTGCACACAGAATGCTCAGCCCCAGTAGGGAAAGCAGACGCTGGCTGGTCAGCGCTGACCGCTAGCACACAAGCCCCTGCCGCATCTGTATGATCTGGAGTAAGGCCGCCTGCACGTCTTCATCCATGTGACCCTAGAGAGAAAGAAGAAAAGAGGAGAAATATTTTATGTAGTCTTCATCTACACGAGAATCCAAAAGACAAAGGCTTTTTAACAGGGCCTAACTGGTTGTGACTCACCAAATGCCAAATCCTCACCACCCTGGCCATATTCTAAAGGATTTACTAGAAAAGGGAGTTGAGCTGTCTCATGGAAATAAAGAAGATCAATTTAAAAGGAGTGCACACTAGTTGCTCCTAACATCTACTATCAGAAAACAGATGAACAAACTTCTCTCTTTTTAAATAACAGCTCAGATGACAGGGGCAGCATAAGTTACAGATAACAAAGTAAACTACAAGGAAAATTTGTTTTGGCTCCCGCTTTTTTTTTTTAATTAGAAAAGTTATTAATGGAAAAAAATCCCCATATTTATTAAATAGGATCATATATATTACTTTGCAACTTGCCTTTTCACCTGTCATAAAAATTTTTTCCAAATTATTTCCTTAATTATTTAAAATTACTGTATAATATCCCACTGTACAGATGTATCATAATTTCTTTACTCATCACCCCAGTGATGGGCATTTAAGGTGTTTCAGTCTTTCTGGGCAGATTCCTAGGGCTAGGTCAAAAAGCAGGCTCGATTTTTCATCTTGCTAAGGACTACGAAATTTCCCTCTACAGAGATTATAACAATTTCACTCCCACCAACAGGGTATAAATGCCCATTTCCCACAACACCCTGGTCAGTGCTGTAGGCTAGCATCTTGTTTAATATCTACCAATCCCAGAAGTCAGAATGGTACCTCCTTGTTTACTTGCATGTCCCCCTTTACTAGTGAGGTTGAGATCTTGTTACACGAATGTTAGCCATTTATATTCAGAAAGAAACACTTTGAACTTAAAAAGATGGCAAGAGGTTGATTAAATGCAAGTCAATATGATGGGCTTACAACACCCGCTTCCCTTGTGTCTTTGCTTGAGCACTTCCCCTCTGTCTTTGCATGAGCATAACACTTCCTATTAATACAAGAAGTTTTGCTTCCAAAATCTGTTTCTATAACAGCAGGATGTTTAAATTCCAAACATTAGCCATAGGTGACTAAACTGAATTTCTTAGTCAACTTCATGATGCCAGAAGGCAAGACCATTTCACATGTCAATTGCTTTTGTTATGTTTCATTGGAGTCAGCAGAAAATAATTTCAAATTTTGGAAGCATACCTTATACGAAGTTGACAGCCTTGTTAGTCTGCAGCATCTTTCAGCAGGGGTACGCTCTTCCTCCCACAGCCAATATCAGACCCCAGTGAATCCCCCACGCTCTCTAACGCAGGTCTGCACTTTTCTACTATTTCTCCACCTAAACCTCCTGTCCTGCTGTCCATCAATAAGCTTCTCTAACAATTGCAATATACTTTCAATCCCAACTTATCTTCTATCTACTCAAAAGAAAGTATCCTTGGCTACTTTCTTTTATCACACCATTCATTCTTTTCCATTGGTTTCCCCTTCACCTCCTATAGAAAAGGCAGGCTTTTCAATTTTAAGAATTCAAGGTCATAAAGTTCCTTCCTTTTTATTATTTTACCTAGTTTTTTTTTTTTTTTAAATGATCTTCTCTCCTTCTCTGAAGCTTTCTCTTAACACCTGTCTTTTTTTTTTTTTTTTTTTTTTTACAGTGTGGCCTGACACTTCAAATCCTAAACAATTCTCATTATATCTCACCTGCCATTCTAACATTTCTCTTTTAGTATGTCTTCCTGAAAAATCTATTCTGAGAATTTTGGAGATGCTGATCATAGGGTTTCTACAGAGCATTAAGTATAGCATCCTTCGTATGTTAAACATTTCCTTAATATGATTTATTTTTTTAAAAAAGAGCTTTCTCATTACAACCCCACAGATGGGAATTCTTAATCTTATGCTTCATTGAGTTTAAGGTTCAATAAATAAATATTACTGATAATCCAAGAGAACCATTTTTTTCTTAAAGTATTACAATTCTGTGCACACCTTACTTGTCATTTTTGCACTTTTATAGTATTCTCTACATTTCAAAGAAATACTCCTGAGCTACCAAGAAACAATGAATTCCTTTGCACTCTCCTCTTTTAGCTGACAGCCACATGTGGGTGTCAAGGCATTATCTCCAGCTAATGATACCATTAATGTGTGCTGCCATCATATGTCGCCAAACTGTCTATAAAATGAGTGACAAGCAGATGGAGATAACACTAAATTTAAGATGCTGTGTTGTCATATAGCTTTGTAAATTTCTCTGGGAGATATGCAAGCCATGATGAAAAGAAACATAATCATTTTTAAATAAGCATATGGGGTATAACTACTTGAAACATCAATTACTTTCATATATATTTACTTAAAAATGAAGAATTATTTTCTCTGAAACAATATCCTTTCCAAAGGAGAAACAGTTCTTTACCTGTGCAGCACTAAGAAGGTGTGTCCGATAAATTGCAATTACTTCTTGGTGCTGTCTGTCGGCATCCTAGAAACGTGGAAAGATGGACAGATGAGGATATCAGCACTCACATTTTCAAACACCCAGAGGCTTGTGACAATGTTGCTTGATACTACAAAACAGGAGTATAATTAAACTGCTCCTGCTACTCCTTGGACTCACCAGATCCAAAATTCCATAGCATAACAATAGTATAAACTTTTCTAATAAATGTGTGGGAACATTCACAGTGAGAGCAATGCCACTTAATCCTAGGTAACATGAAATCATCGCCTTAGTTCACATCTAATGCCACAAAATTATCCAGACACATATCAACTTGTGCTTTGGATTATTGCAAACTTCCCATCTTGTCTCCCTGTCTCTAGACTTTATTTCCTCCCATGCTTCCGAGATTGAGGCAGCTCTTTCCTCATATCACCTTGACTCAATAACCTCGGGTGACACGTTGTTACGTATAAGAGAGAATCTAAATTCATCCGCTTCATTCCCAACAGCCTTCACAATTTGGCCTCAAATATAGCTCCCAGACTAGCCAGGCTGACTGGCCTTTTACGGCCCCTGGGGCATGCCACTTGCAGTCCACCTCCAAGCCTTCCTCACACGATTTCCGTTGCCTGAGAGTCTCTGTTTTCCTTCCACCTACCAAAACACCATCTATCCAAAAAGTTCACGCTAGGTGCTCCCTTCTTCCTTGAAACTAGCTACCACCACACCAGTAATCTTTCCTTCCTGGGAACTCACATCACTATGAATTCATATCATATTCAACTTTGACTCTGGGACTATATTCTCAATTCTGTATTTGATATTTTTTGTCTTGTTATTTTACTTTTCATGGATCTATATATTTTCCCTGTCTAACTACTCAGAACTCCTCGGGGACAGGAACTGTATACTCTCTATAACCCTGACAGTGCTTAGCATAGCATCACAAACATGACAAACAATAAAGAAATATTTCCAATTTTTGAAGAGACTACCATATCCTTTTGATAAGATCCAGATCAGCAATTTGTCATCATTAATCTGTAGGTCAACAGTGTTACAAGATCAACACTTTAAAAAATAACTTTCCAGGGCTGGCCTGGTGACATAGTGGTTAAGTTCATACACTCTGCTTTGGCAGGTCCAGGGTTCACAGGTTCAGATCTGGGGCCTGGACTTAGCATCGCTCACCAAGCCACGCTGTGGAGGCATCCCACATAAAAAATAGAGGAAGACTGGCAGAGATGTTAGCTCAGGGCCAATCCTCCTCATAACAAAACAAAAATAACTTTCTTCTATTCAAAAACAATTCATAACCAATTCCTACAGAATAGGAAAATTTTAGCAACAATTTACATTTGATTGGGCTATGTTTTACTTAGCATTTCCATGTATATTACCTCATTCAATTACAAAAGCAAACAAACAAACAAGAAATCAATTCTTATCCTCTTTTGTGGATGAGGAAGCTAAAAGTTAAGGGGAATGTTCCATGTCACTGGCTTTTAAGTGGCGGGGCTTAGAATTGAGCTCTCATCTCAGCTTCCAAATCCAGATGCTTTCTTTTAATATATAAAGGAGACATATATCCATATAGGTAACTATGGATATGGATATGGGGTAACTATACAGATATATACATCCAAATGTTTTCTTTTAATATATAAGGATATAAGGTATAAAACCACAGAAATGCCTATCTTTATTCATAAGGATAAGAGATTATTAAAAACCTCCTTTAGTTTAGTGGACCAATATTTTAGAGAGTGTGCTGCAGTTGAAAAGACACCAGATGCGGAGTCAGCCAATCCCAGGATTAAATCCTAACTGTACAACCCCAGGCATCAAGTATTTTCATCTTTGTTTCCTTAAGAATTAAATGGGGGGGGGGATTAAAATCTTGTAGGATTGTGATGAAGATAAAATTTAAAGATGAAGTATGTAAAATGTTCACAGTAGTGCCTGCCATATAATAAGCACCAAATAAATGATATTATATGACTAGTATAAGTAACTTTTAGCAAAAATGATTACATTCTTGGATCTGCACAGTCACAAATCAACTTGGCTTCTAAATAAGCCTCTACAACAGCCAAACTCGAGCCCGCGCTTATCGGCACGGAGCCCTGCAGGCCTGGTACTCACAGCCAGCTGCTGCTGCAGGGTCTGCACCTGGTGCTGCAGAGCATCAATGAGCTGGCTCTGTCTCTTGCTGGGACTCCCACTCGTGTAGGTGAGTTGTGAAAGGCCATTGAGAGCCTGTTTTAGTCTTTCCACATCATTAAGCAGTTCGGTTATCTTACAAAAAAAGAAAACAGTTGTGGGAGAAAAATATATATTATTCACTTATAATAAACATCTTTACACAGAAATCATTCCTTGAGACATAAAATTTATATTTATATACCAGGAAATTGAGGAATGAATATTGTCAAGATTGTTATCAATAGTATGTACATTACAGTCATGTGCTACATAGTGACATTTGGGTGGACAACAGACCACATATATGATGGTGCTCCCATAAGACTAGTACTATAGAGCCTAGCTGTGTAGTAGGCTTTACCATCTAGGTTTGTGTAAGTGCACTCTATGATGTTCACACAACGACGAAATCACCTAATGATGCATTTCTCAGAATGTATCCACGTCATTAAGCAACACATGACTATATAATTTAACTAAATTTCTCTCCGTAAATTCCTTAGAAAAGCATTACCAAATTAATAATAAATACGATATATATCCTAAAATATGAGTGTGACTTCATTCTTCTTATTTTTAGATAATATATAAGTACGTATGAAGGTATATAGACTACCTTCCAGGAAGTTTGAAACATAGGAAGGTAGAAGGGATTCCTTCCAACAAAGTTTGAAAAGTAAAAAAGCATGGCTCATGTAAGCCTAGAATTAACTTACGTGCCTTGTTCTTTTCAAGAATGTACAACTATAGACTATTTTGTAATAAAGAGAAAAATATACGGAGGCTGGTTAGAGTAGTGGAAAAAGCACAGGCTTTAAAGCCAGACAGGTTTGATTCTTATTAGCTGTGTAAGCTTGGCTAATTTCCTTTATTTTTCTGAGCCTTAGTTTCCTTATCAGTGAAAGGGGAAATTCTTTCATAGTGAAGAAAATCAAATGCACTCATAAATATACGCTTGGAATGTAGTAGATGCTCAATAAATGGCAACAATTATAAGTAGATATTAATAAATTGCTACTATAAGTATATATTATTATATTCATAATCACTTTCCAAACAAGGTGACAGCATTTAAATTCTGGGTCATATGAGTAGACGTGTCAGAAGGTTAGTCTTGCACCTTTCCACTGAGGAGGGCTGGGGCTGTGTCTGCTTTTATTCACCTCTGTATCCTCAGCCCTAAGCATAGCACCTGGCACGTAGAAGGTATTTTATATTTGTTGAGTGGATAAAACCGCACTCAATCTCCCTGACGGGTCATCTTCATAGTATGCACTTTATGCAACCACTAGTTTCAAAAATATTGTTGAGCACCTATTGTGTAAATTGTACCATGAGAATGAATAAGAAGGAAAGATAAGTTATGAGCCCGCTCTTAAAGACTGGTTGGGAAGATCAACCACATAATTCTGGCACGGTGATATACATATTTAAACGGATGGCAAAGCCAAAACAAAACATGCATTTTAGAAGAGGGACAGTTTACTGTAGGCTAGACTGGACAATGAAGGCTCTAGGAAGGAGGATAAGTGATGAAGTGGGCATTATGGACCGTATAGGACTTTACTCAGTAGAGACCAGGGGCAGGACATTCTGGGTGAGAGGACCAGTCTGTAGGAAGATATGGGGACAGAACGTACTGTGAATTGGAGGGCTCAGTTTACTGGTATGGGTGAGTGCCATGACCAAGTATGGGGTGCTCGCCCGTGCCCTTAGTTTCTTGTAGCCCAAACACTTGGCTTTTTTCCTCCTCTCCCTCACCATTCTTTAGGTACCCTAAATCCCACTGCATTTTGACCATTCATTTATGAGGCAAATGAACCTTGAGTCTCCCATCTTTCCTCAATTCTTGGCTGGATCAGCTAAGGAAAGAAAAGGAAAAATCCTTTTGATTTTTGCTTGTGTGACTTGACTTTTTTTAAAACTCCGAAATTATTTTACACACCAGTAGCCCACCTGGAAAGGTGGCATTTAAGGGTCACTTTGTTAATGCCTTGTGAACCTGTCTTGAAGGATGCTATGGTAAGGAGCCCTAGTCTACTCCAGCAGCTGTGCTCTGGGGTTTCTAGAGCACAGTCAGACAGACTCCTCGGCGCTCACCTTATTATCTTTATCTTCAATTTGTCTAGCAGATTCCTGTATCCTTCTCTGTAACTCTGTGATTGTTGTTAGGGACTTATCACATCGTTCCTGCTGATCCTTGATTTCTTGCTCAATGCTAAAATGTAGTAATTCCTTCTCATCTTTTGCAGATAGTTCCTTCTTTTTGGCATGCAAAACCTCCTCACATACTTCTTCGTACTTTCTATTCAGATTGGCCAATTTTTCGTTTAAGTTGGAAACCTGGGTCTCCAAGTCACTTTTTGTTGCTTTATATTTAGACAAATCAACTACCTCCCTAGTCTCTAATTTTTTTAATGCCTGCTTAGTATTTTGGACCTCAGACTGCAGTTTGGAGACTTCTTCAGTTTTGTTTTGGCTTTCTTCCTCCTTTTCTCGCAAGCTAGCTTTTATGACTCCAACTTCTTTCTCAAATGCTTCCTTAATCTGCAAATGCTCTGACAGCGGCACAGAAGAGTTCTTCTGATTCTCCAACATCTGCTGCAGTTTGGTCACAGTCTGCTGCTCCTTCTCATAACACCTTTGCTTATTCTTCAGTTCTTCCTTTAGAGTCTCAATTGTGCCATTAAGAGATTTTTCCAGGGCCTCAACCTGTTCCAGTGGAACATGCTGTTTTTGCAAAAGAGTTTGTGCTGCAAGGATCTCAGAAGTCTGTTTGGCATTTTCTTCTACTAGCTTCTCTCTCTCGTTCTTTACCTCTGTGTATTTCTGTAACAGGTCTTTTAACTGTTTGTTTAGCTCTTCTGTTTTTCTGCTTAATGCTCTTTCCATTTCATGAGAATTCTCAATGAGAGCACTCTTATCCTTTAAATCCTTCTGAAGAGTGGAAATCTCCTTCTTTAACTTGTCATTCTCCTGCTTGCACTTCCTGGCCTCTTCTTCCCTGACATTACACTTCTGTGTCTGCTCTGATAATTGCTCTTTTAGTTCTTTCTCTGTTGCTTTAAATTTTCTCTCACATTCTTCAAAGCTGACAATTGGAGCATATTTTAGCTTAATGCATTCGTGTATTGTGTCAAGCTCCTTTTTCTGGGCTTCGATTTCAGCATGCAGCGTCACAATCTCTTCCTGGCCTTTTTGGTAGTTAGCCAACATTTCAGCACTATTCGCCTGCACTTTTTTCAGGCTCTCACCCACAGTGCTCATCTTTTCCTCATGCTCTTTTAGGCTGATGTACTCAGCTTTTATTTGGTTCTGAGTGTTTTCCAGGTTTCTTTTTAATATTTCATTCTCATCTTTTATTTTTACAAATTCTCGATTTATATCTTCAAATTTTTTTTTCACATCTAATAATTCTCTGTTAGTTTTATCTAATGTGCTACTCAATGTAGTTTTCATCTCTTCATGAGTCTTAACTGGCACATGCTGATGACTCATAGTCTTTTTCAAGTTGGTGTTTTCAGACATGAGCGAATCTATCTTCTCCTGGTCTTCCCCACATTTTTTATTAAGTTCAGAGAGCTGTTTTTTAAGTTCAACGATATTGGATTTCAGAGCCATTATCTCTTTTTCATGCTTCTCAGGAGGTACGAACACAGTTTCCAGGTGGCTCACATTCTTACTTAAGCTGTCATTTTCCACTAGCAATTTCTCCATTCCCAACTTCTTTTCTGTATATTTTTGTGTGACATCTAAAAGCTTTTTGTTCAAATCATCAACAATTGCATCATGTGACTTTTTCATTTCTTCACTGACTTTTAAAGGAACATAATGATTTTTCATTTCCATTGTTAAGTTATGTACTTGCTGGGTAAGGAGCTTATTATCCAGATACACCTTTTCAATTTCCTTTTGTAACTCCTGATTTTTTGATGTTAAGTCAGTGATCTTCTTCCCAAGTTCTCCAGATTTTTGCTCTAATCTACTCTTGAGTTGTTCGTGTTCTTCTGGTTTGACATGCTGAGCAAACTTGGCCTTAGAATTCTCAAGTTCTCTCTTTAACTGTCTAATTTCACCATGTGATTTTTCATATTCTCTTTCCATCTCTACTAATTTTTTTGCCTTCTCATTCACTTCATTCGATAATAAGCTCTTCATGTTTTCAAATTTTTCTGTCGGAATGGAAAGGGCCAACTTTGCTAACAATTCTTTTAACTGGCCTTCCATTTCTGCGACCTTTCTTCCTTTCTTCTCTCGCTCCATTTCACACATACTAAATTCCTTCTGCAATCGCTTATTTTCCTCTATCAGCTTGCCTTCATCCCTCTTAAACTCTTCTACCAGCATCTCGTTTTGTTTGATCTGGTTTCTTAATTTTCCTACTTCCGCTGAAGCGCCTTCATACTTCGCTTTCATGTCTCTCAGCTGATCCTTCAGTTCCTCCGTTAACCTGTGGCTCCCTGTTGCTGCTTCACTTGTGAGATGCTCTTTAAGGGCAAGAAAATGCGTCTGCATTTGCTTCACTTTACCTTCTGACTCGTACATTCTCTTCTGCACATCTTTTAATGCATCTTCTAATTGCTTTATCTGTTCATCTGAATCCTCCTTGACCCTTTCACATTCTAAGGCTAAAGCTTTGCACTCTGCCACCTTGTGAGCCAGTTCATTTTGGAGCTTGAGTCGGTCTTGTTTTGCTGAATCGCAGAAAGTTCTCATTGCTTCTAACTCTTTCTTTAAAATTTCATTTTCGGAATATGAGGTTTGATTGGGGAAGGACAGCTCCAGCGGCCTTAACATGGATCTGCTTTGCATATGGGCTGGCATACCAGGGGAAGTACACTGAAAAGCAAAAAAATATATACACAAATCAATCACAAAAGCCTCAAGAAAACACTTACTTACCTGCCAAATTTACAGAAAGTTTCTATATCATCAGTAGTCGAACAGTTTTCAGACTAGTTATGCTGGAAACATATAGTCCTGATTTTTGAAGTAAGAAAACCAGTTCTGAGTATGATTTCCTTAATATGCCCTTAAGCACTGCCATTTTGAAAGTCTGTTCATTTAAGTGTATTTCTGGCAGAACAAAGAAGGAAAATAGTTGTGGCCCCCGGGTACTATTTTCTCTTTCTTTCCCCATTCATAATACCTACGTGCACATGAATATCAACTTTATCAAAACACATCTACTATTTCTATTTGATGGCACATAATGTGCTCAGAACATCAAATTCTAAAGAAAGCCTTAAATAAAAGAAAGCCAGAACCCTTAAATAAAAACAAGGATTGCAATTTTAAATCTGTAAATAATTTCATAGAAACTATTATTAATATTTCATAGAAATTATTTTTGCAAGTACTAATTCATTGATAAAAGCTATATGCTACGAGTACATCCCACTATCTTAATAGGCAGGTTTTACTGTTGTAAAAAGAAAAGAAAACCCAAATATTTATCGGGTCTGCAGTTGCGAGGAGGTGCTAGAAATGCAAACGTTGTACCTACTGGAAAACAAAAGTGAGGAGCAGATAAACAAGTAACCAAATTAGACAACACTCCCTCTCGGAAGCTTTCTTTATTTTGAGGTGAATTTCCAAAACATAGAATATATATTTCAATGCAAGGAAAAATACATTTCAAAGCCCAAACAAATGACCCTTGACTTGAATTACTCACACCTGTCTTCCTCTTGATAAGGGCAAATATGAAGAGTTAATGTTGTTAATGAATAGAGGCTTACTATCAAACACAATGAAATTTTATTTCAAATCTCTTATTTAAGCCACTGTGATCAAAAACACTCTGGAGGGCACCAGAAACAGCAGTATCACTGCTTTTATTAAACTCAACAACGCAACACCAACTTTTGTTTGATAATGAAAACCTTATTCAATGTAAATACACTTGATATACAATGCTATTTTCCTCTTTTTATAAAGGCACAAATATTTTTTCTAAATATTTTTTAAAATTAAAAAAACAGTATTACCTGTGTGTCTGTCACATACATTTGACCTTGTTTAAGAAGCATATCTTCTTTTCCTAAGTAAATCCAAATAAATGATAACTTAAATATCCATACCAAAGTAGGCTACATATTAATCTGGTGTTATTCTCTTTCCTTTATTATTCAAACAAAAGAGAAGCATGAGTTACAACATAAAATTATCCTTGTTCTAAAATATTCATGTTTTTCCTTAGTATTTCTACATACATAAGGAAAGTATTCTTCTGAATACAGACTAAGTTGGTTTTAAAAAATACACAAGATTGTTAGACTAAATAAGTTACATGATTATTATAAAATACATATCTTACTATCAGTTAAAACAAAAATGGTATTCTTTTGCAACTTGTAGGATAAATATTACTATTGTGATGAGCTAGAGGGTAATTTAATATTCACTGGGAAGCAAAAAATAGGTTTTTCTAGAGAAACTGTTTAAAATTAGTGAACAATAAACAGAAGTGAAGCTTAATTACGTACAGTCTTAAAATAACTAATAAATATGCATTTATGGAACTTCGAACTAACTTTAAAATGCCTACTTGCATTGAGACTATATCCAAAGATTTCTCCAAATCAGAAAACTGTATTTAAGTTTCTTTCTATATAAAACAAGCCCCAAATATCACAAGATAAATGTCCACTAATCGACAAGGCAAATTTGGTAATTCATACAATATACAATTTAAAAATATAAGCGGCTAAGGAAAATCGGAGCCACGGTGATTACCAGATTTTGTTAGAGGCTACAGTAGTCATCTTAACCTCTTCCTGGTTCCACAAGGTGAGTAGAACACACAAGTAGTTGGATGAAGTTTAGCAGCAGGAGTATCATATACAGTTAGACAAAATAAATACACATAAATATTCTTCTTTGCTTGAACTGGATAAACTGTAATGATAATCTATACTTTTATACTTACGGTTACTGAAATGACTTCCTGATCCTAAATGATCACTCTGAAATTAGAAGTATAATTAAAACATTTTAGGTGAATATTGCTTCATTTGGTTAAATTCTGTATCTATTTTAGCTCTAAATAATCCAGTCATTAAAACCACATTTTCAACATTCCTTGTTTCTCCCGAGTATTATTCTACTGGAACCTGCAAAAAGACATAGCACTAGCAACAATTAGAGAGGTGAGTTGCGAATAAACTACTTCACGAAGCATTTTAATAAAACCATCCAAGTGTATCAAGGAAAAACTTTATTGCTCAAAATAAAAAAAGTGAGCTCCAAATGAACTGAAACAACTTTCAATCCATACTCTTTTCTGCTTCTTTACCTCAAAAGGAAGGAAAAGCCACATTCCCATCAAGTACTCATTTTACTTTGCCACTGTTGGGAAACCCTACTTCATTAACTGTGAAATAGCCACGTGATGCCTTCTTTCAGAATTTATAGAATACTGACTACTTCTTTTTTTTTTTCGGTTTTTGGCCCTGAGCTAATATCTGTTGCCTATCCTCCTCTTTTTTGCTTGAGGAAGATTGTCTCTGAGCTAACATCGTGGCAATTGTCCTCTATTTTATATGTGGGATGCCACAACAGCATGGCTTGATGAGTGGTATGTAGGTCCATGTCTGGGATCCAAACCCATGAACCCCAGGCCACAGAAGCGGAGCACGTGAACTTAACCACTACACCACTGGGCCATCCCTGAATACCGATTACTTTTGAAGGCAAAAGGAGACAGAGAGGAGGAAACGAAACTGAGACAAAGACCTACACACAGCAATAAATAAATTGATGCATCAGTTACGAAAAAGAGAATACTGAAGAAAATCTAGATACTCTGAATCGAAATATACTTGGATTGCTCATTTTTCCAAGTTAGTCAAATACAAAGAATCTAATATATCAACTAAAATATTATAACTTCAAGAGTAAAGATATGCAGATGTAGCTCATGTCTGTGTATCTGTGTGTACTGGTACTAACAGCCATGTGTCAAACTCTGATATAGATGACCACGGTGAAAATAGTCCACAGTCCTATAAATAAATTGTTGCCTCCTACACTAATTCTTAGTGCCCCAAGGATGTCGGTAAACATAGTTAAGCTCTTTGTTCTATGTAATATTTAATACTAGAGTTTACCATAGCTACTCAATGGACTTATACATGTATGGTTGGCGTGGCCTACGCACATAAGGAGTTCAAAAAACTTAGTTTGGGTTTATTACCTTTCCTTGATTACTCACATGAAAATAAATGCATAAGTTACAACATAAAATTAGCCTCGTTCTAAAATATCCATATTTTCCCATATTTTTTCTATTATCAGAAGGGAAATGCCTACATATTAAGTATTACACACACCAGCAAACCTGTTGGCAGTTTATGAAGATTTTTAGGCATGTGAGATGATACAGTGGATATGCAATATTTTTAAATGACGAATTCTTAGTTTTGTTTTTTTGCTTGTTTTCTGCATTTTTCTCCCCAAATCCCCCTGCATAGTTGTATATATTTTTTTAGTTGTGGGTCCTTCCAGTTGTGGCATGTGGGACGCTGCCCCAGCATGGCCTGATGAACGGTGCCACGTCCGTGCCCAGGATCCGAACCAGCAAAACCCTGGGCCACCAAAGCGGAGCACGCAAACTTAACCACTCAGCCACAAGGCCAGCCCCTGAATGCTTAGTTTTTAATGGCTGCTTTCATAAATACTGGGTCACATATAAAATGGGCCCTGTAATTTCTTTTTGAAAGTAAAAAACCATTTCTAGTAGAAAAATTTATCACAATGAATATGCACTCACTGGGGAAAATGTCACTATGTTGAGTGAAAGAAGTTACAAAATAGGATGTACCCATTCCCACAAGTTACGCACAAAGAAAGGTCGGGAAGACGTGAGTCAGGTGCTAGGAGAGCTGGGAATATAGTTGTACTTATTTTCTGCTTTTAGTTTAATTATATTCTCTAATCTTTCTGAAATAAATATATATTACTTTAAATGAAAAGAATTATGTAGAATAACAATAAAGTTACTTTCCTATAGTTTATTATAACCTCATTGAAAGTTACAGACTTGACTCTAACTCTGTCTAAAGCTACTGAAAAATATCTTATTCTTGACATGAGAGTCTACTCTTAGACTCTTAGTACCCAATTATAGGTGTCAAACTTTGATGAGTGCTTCAAAGGGCCCACATACGCCTCTAGATTTTCTCATTCAAGTCATTCTGAGTGTAAAACTAGTATTGTAGTACAGAGCACAAAGGAGCCAGACAGCCTGGGTTCAAGTTCCGGCTCTTTCGCTTAATATTTATAAAAACCCTCACAGGTAAATGCTCTGTGCCTCAGTCTCTTCACTTATAAATGCAGATAATAATAAAACCTGCCATATGGAGTTGATATGTTTATTAAATGCACGTAAAGTGTACAGAGCAGTTTCTGGTACATGGCTGGTACTATGAAAATGTTAGCTATTACTAGTTTCATTATCAACCTTAAAAAAGAGTCAAATGTGAAAAAGATAGAAGGCACTATACCAGATTATTCTTTAGCTTATAAAGCTGTTTCTGAATAATCTTCAGAATTCAGTCACACAAATTCAAACACACTTTTTTTCTTTTTTAAAAATGTATCAAGGCATAACTCACGTGCAATAAAGCACCTTGTTAAGTGTACAGTACAATGAATTTTTGCAGACGCACACCTTGTATTATCACAACCAAGATCAAGATATAGAACATTTCCAGCACCCTCAGAAGCTTCTTCATGCCCCATCCTAGTCAGTAATCCCTCCCCAAAGGTGGCCTCTATTCTCTCCTCTATCACCATAGATTAGTTTTGTCTGACTCTAAACTTTATAAAAATGGAATCATGCATTAGCTACTCTTTGTGTCTGATTTCTTTCACACAACATTGTCTGTGAGATTCATCCATGTCTTGACATTCTTTTTCATAGCTGACCACAAATTTTTTTATTTATAAAAGAAAAAAATTACTTTCATTAGGTACTTTGGAGTTATATTCCCTAATAAAGATAAAAGATTCATATTGAAACAGCACCCTCTTCAGTGACCCCTCAGTGATGAACAACATTTATAAATATGTATTACGGCCTTTCAAACAAATCTACACAGTTAGAAGTCAGGAAAATGGTCACCCCTGATGCAGGGAGTGTGGGTAATGACAGGAAGCAAACATGAGGAGGCTTCTGGGTACTAGTAATGTTCTGATTCTTGATCTGGGTGTGTTCGATTTGTGAAAATTCTTCAACTTATATGCTTTAACGTGTACTTTTTAACATATATTGTATTTCAATAAAAAGTTAAAAAAATCCACTGTCTTGGAAAGACTAAGAGCTAACTGACCCAACCAAAGAAGAGTATACGATCTGGGCCTTATTGACACTCTACTCTCACTAAACCAAGTGTTCTAACTAATCCAGATAGGCACAAAATCCTTTCTGAGATAATCCTGGAAATACCACTATTCATTTCTATATCACCATCATAATCATTGAAAATTTACAGATAAAAGCATCAAGTTTTGAAAAGGTAAAGATGAACAAAGATGAAAGCTGGGGAAGAGAAAGCAGAATTGAACTAAATGTCAATCATATGCTAGTCAATTTCAATTATCTCGTTTAACCTTTACAACAACTCCGTGGAGAAAGGGACAACCACCCCAATTCTGTCAAAGCAGCAACACACTCAGAGACTTTAAATAAACTGCCCGAGGTCACACTATAAAGAAGAGAGTGATAATTCAAATTCAACTCTGCGTCCAAGCCCCTAACTATTGCCTATTATGAGTTACAGGAGATAATTTAAGCTTTGTATACCTCAAAATATTTAAATCTATTTTTCAGAGCCTCAATAGTTCTTAGGCTTTCTTCATGTTGCTTTTCTTTAGCTGCCAAAAGGGACTTCAGCTTTTCTTTCTGAAATGGAAAGAAAGAAAGAAAGAGCAAAGTCACTCCGTGCTTGAAATTGGGTTAGAAATGTGTTTTAGAAAATGTGATTAGAATTACTTTGAGGACTGCAGTTAATGAATTATCTAAGCTGGTGGATTTTTATCTATTAGTAGAGTTGAAAATTCTACAAATACACTAATAAAATATACAATATATACAAAAAAATTACAAAAAATTCAAATTTTTATTGTTTGTTTTAAATCATTATCTTCAGATATTTACTTTATAATGTTTTGAATTTTACATCTTTTTATGAAAAGTTTCACAGAAAATGAGACATTCAGAGGCAATAACAAAATGCCTACAATAACCCATGCCACTATACTCAAAACATACTTTTACATTCACATGTAGGTTTTGTTTTTCCCTTTGAGCAATAAGCAGAAATAGAATCCTGGTCTCCATCTCAATTCAGGACTTACACACCTTCTGCAATATCATTTTCAATTTACATTTTACAGCTTTAAAGAAAAATTTATCATCCTACCTCACTTTCCAGATCATCAGCAACCATTACTTCCTAAATTTAAAAAGAAGAAATGTATTTTCAGTCTTGAAAGTTTGTTTTAAAAGGCAGGAGCTTGGCAAATATCTTTTGAAAAGACAGGCACATGTCTTTAAGAATGGGGACAAGGATAGGAGAAGAAAATGTCTATGTACTCCCAGTTCTCTTGTCTGAATTGTCATCCCTTCTTCTCACCAACCAGGTTCAGAAGCACTTTTGATTCTTCTGAGAAGCCCTCAGTTGTCAACTCCTACTTGCTCTTCCTCCTCACATCTTCTGTCTCCTCCTTCCTCTCCAATCCCATAGCACCAGCTCCAGTTCAGTCCTTTGTTGTTACCACACATCTACAGTATTCTCTGTTCTTGGATTCGACATTAAAGATTTCATGTAAAGGTCCTAGTAAGATACAACTTTCCCCAAGGGCCATGACCTGATTTTACCTCTGTTAGCACCCAGCACCATGACTTCACGTGATAGGCGAGCATTAACAATTTGTTATCGATGATGATGACTGGGAGTAAAAGTTTGGATTTTTTTGTATTATGTAGATTATTTACCTCATTCAGCTGCAGTTGTAAACCATTGACTTTATCCAATAATATTCTCTGTTCTTGCTGAATTTTTCTCAACCTCTCTTTCAAATCTTCATTTTCAATCTCCAGATCCTTAAATAGTAAAGATAACAGGGACTACACCAACCTTAAAAGAGCAATTCTTACAGAAGAGATTTTTAAAAGCAGTTCGCTCTCATCTACAGATATATACCTATATAAAACAGCTTTAAGTACAAAGATGCAATAATTTCAATGACATTCAAATGATTTAAAAATCTATAGACCAGAAATAATATAGAAAATTATGGTCCTGTGGTATCTAATGAATACAAATATATACAAGACAGCAAACCATCATGATTCTAATAAAAAATAAAACCATCATCTGGAAATAGAAAATAGAAGAAGAATATGCCATTTTAACTTTTGCTTAACACCTCTCAAGTTTATGAGTCTACTCGCATGCTTTTCTTAAACTAATCATCATTTCAGTGCTCTGATAAAGTACTTAAGGCTCCGATCTAAGGCTAGCATCACTTTCTTAACAGTACATAGTAAACTATGAAGACCCAAAGAAAATGCTTCTGTTTTATCACATGGAAAACATACTCAATTTATATTCTAATGGTATTTGAGTCATAAAATAAACCATTTAATTATGGGATCTTCCTCCAACATAATCCATATAATAATTATTTTTCGAACATTTTGACAAACATAAAAGGTAAAAAGTGCTGTGTGGTTAACAAAATTATTTTTCTTAATCAAAATAAAAAATAATTTAAGAAAAAGTTGGGCTTTTATTTTATTTACATTAATAATCATTTTTATCACTATAATAATTTTCCAACATGAATAGAGATTTATGACCCAAAACACATATATTTAAATCAACAAAAAGTTACATAAAGTTGTTAAATTATTTGCTTCCTAATATATAGTAAAACAATACTTTCTGTAAGATAATACTGACCCAAACATTCATATCAAGAGTCAATTCTTTTGGAATGGATTGGGCAAGAAAATTGAATTACAAAACAGAACTAGCTGCCCCTCCTTCCCCCACATTTTCGCTCCCTGTCTTCTCCCCTACCCCACTACAAACAACACTGGAATTCTCTGCAAAGGAAGATACCAAATTTTGTTTTCTTTTTACCTGAATGTTTTGATGCTCCCTCTGATTTGGCTTCATATTTACTTCATCTAGCATGTGTGTCAAATTTCGCTTTGGTAAAACATAAGAAAACACAGGTTAGCAAGAATGAGAATATAGACCACATTTTCCTCAATAAGCAATATATCCAAGTGGTGATTTTCAGCTTACCCAACATTAAATTTTGCTGTCATAACACAAGGTGGCAGTGTTTCCACTGAGAACTCCAAATGGAAAGCATCTTTAAGGATATAGGTTTCAAATAAATCAAGTATAATTTATTTTAAAATACTAAAAAATAAAATTTAAAATCCTTATTGTTAAGGATTTATTTTAGCTAGAGTCACAAAATTTTAAAAAGGAGAATTTGTACTAGACACAAAACTAAACTTGTGCCATAAGCATTATCAACCATTCCCAAAGGAAGAATTTAGTCTTTAAAAAAAGGAGGAGGGCAAGTTACATTAATGTTGGAAGAAAATATGAAAATTATTTATTTCTTTGAGTACTGATGAAATAAAATATCAAGGGGTGTGGTAAGACAGAGACAGAAAATCCTCTGACCAGAGCTTTATAAAAGATCTCTAAATGACCTAGTTGGGTACATCTCGTTTTTGTACACTCACTGCTTTGAACCCTTATTCAAGCTTAGAGATTTGCTTTAATAAAAACACAAAACAATTATTAAACAAGAGAGAAAATAACCTTTTTTTGCCCAAGTTGACCTTTAAATCTACAAAATAATTTAGAAAGCTCTTTCCTCCTTTCTAAGAACTTAAGAAAAAAAAAAGCTAATGCTTTAATTCTCCAAGATAATTTTTTTATGTTCTGTATTATTTGTGGAGTTTGTTTAATCAAGTGTTTAAACTATCATTCTAGTGAGTTTGGATTTAGAATTAGGGGGAGAAAGTCCCATTAAGAAGATATCCTGTACCCACAATTTGCCCAAACTACATTTCCAGCCTCATTCTTTCTACCAAAGGACTGTTCACGTGGAATCTGACCAGCCTCATTGTACCAATTTTTTTTTTTTTGAGGAAGATTAGCCCTGAGCTAACATCTGATGCCAATCCTCTTCTTTTTTTTTGCTGAGGAAGACTGGTCCTGAGCTAATATCCGTGCCCATCTTCTTCTGCTGTATATGTGGGATGCCTACCACAGCATGGCTTCCCAAGCAGTGCTATGTCCACACCTGGGATCCGAACCAGCGAACCTCCGGCTGCCAAAGCAGAACGTGCGCACTTAACTGCTGCACCACCGGGCCAGCCCCTTATTGTACCACTTTTACCCCCTGGCTTCCGTTCAGAGGGTCCTTCATAATCTGGCACCTAGTTACCTTGCTCATCTCTTCCCTTCAGCTAGGTCATGTGCATGTCACTCCTGCCACTCTGGCCTTCTACTACCCCATAGATGTGCTGAACATGCTCCCTCGTCAGGGACTTGGTACTTGCCCGACCCTCCGCCCGTGGGGCTTCTCCCACAGAGCCACACAGCTCCCTCCTCACTTCCTTCAGACCTCTGCTCAAATGTCACTTCCTGAGAGAGCCCCTTCCTGACCACACAATCTAAAACAGCTTCCTGTGCTCTCCTTCTTCATCCGCTAATCCTGTTCCACTTTTCTTCGAAGTATCTGCTATGATACTACTTTGCTTACTGCTCATCTCTCTCACTAGGCTGGAGCTCCCTGAGGGCAGGGACTTTGAACACCGTGATATCCCAGCACTAAGAACAGTAACTGGCAGATAGTACGTGCTCTACAGACATCTGTTAAGCAAATAACTCAGTCTTATTTTTTCATCTATACAGTAATCTTCTTGATAACAGGGATTATATGTTCCTTAGTACAAGAACAAATCCTATTTACAGCACACAGTTTTAAATGTATTCAATAATTAATGGAAACAAATGAGTTTTGCTGTTCCTAGCAGAATATTAACTCCCCAAATTCATTTAGATAACTCCTAGAGCACTAAGCAGAATACCATTCCCATATCAATATTCAGTAATTCCTTATTCTCAATATCTGTATATTCCAGGAATCATTTTCTCGGGTTCTGGGTGAGACAGCTGGTACAGTCATAACAGTGCACATTTCATTATACCCCTACTTAGGTTACCTGAGGAATGGGAGAGAGGGTTGAAACAGTTGCTCCAGATGGAAAAGAAAAGTGACAGTAGACAAGACCCATGCATGAACCTACTACTTAATTGTGATGGATTAAAAACGAAAACATGCTTTAATAAAGCTTTCAGATTCAGGTGAGAGGTAGAGGAATGATGCAGAATGATGATCAGAATTGCTCCAAGGTACCTGATTACTTTCTCTTCAGGGTTTGGAAGTGCCCAGGTTCCTCTCATTAGAGAAAAGCTGAAAGCCTGGAAGGGAACTGCCAGCAGAAGAGGAGAGCTGCCCATACTAGCTTTTGAGCAGACGGTGAGAGTGCAGTAAACCAACCCCTCTTACTTCACTCGAAGAGATTAGGGGAAATGACAAGACATTTACTGAGACGGGGACACAAAACCAGGGTTAAACAGTGATTTGATAATAAAATTAGTGCAAGGTAGGAATTATTTCATGTATTGCAGGTTTTTTTTAAGTGAAGTCTTCATTAATTAAATACACAGCAAAAAAAGATGAAAAGAAATCAAAATGTTAACAGTGGTATTGAAAAGACTATATAATCAGTTTTGAATTCTGTTTTCTTCATTTCTTATTGCACTGTAATTTTCCAATAACAGTAAATATTTGGCTCTGTTATTAAGGGAGGACAGGTGAAAACTATCTACAATCTGCCAGGCTGAAACTAATCTTCTAAGAGTCTCAGCGAGGTGTGCTATCTCATACTTCGCAGGGCTGGATGTTTAAGGCCAGCAATCAGCAGGCTATTTATTTCCCATTGGATACATTCATTGTAATAAGATTCACTGTCTCAAGCTGAGAGACAGCACCCAGAGCAAGCCTCAGGATCTTAATACCCAGCTTCTCCAAGGGCATGATGAACTGAGGCGAGAGAACAGCATGCATTTAAACCCAAAACAGTTATGTACAATCATTAACCAGTCTGAGTAAGCACTTATATTGCACAATACATATAATTTTTTAAAATTAAAATTAAGATCTACCTGTTGTAAAGATGGTCCTTTCTTCCAAAGTTCTTTCCCTGAATATTGAAAGAGAGGAGAAAGAAGGACAGTGAAACAGCAGGTTAACTTGGGTAGATACGCATTCCCTAACTATACAACCGAGTTAATATTAAAGAAATGCATTTTAAAGTTTCCTTTAAAGGAACTTCACAGTTAAAACAAAAGTGAAATATCATTTTTGCCTATCAAGTTGGCAAGGTGTTTTTTTGCTATAACAACATCCAGGTAGGTAATAGTCAATACTAGGGAAGAGAGACAGGTAAAAAATGTAAAATTTGAAACACTCCTAAATTGGAAAGCAATTTGTCAATATAGATCAAGAGCTTAAAGAAGTGTACATATCCTGGAACCCCATGATTCAATGTCTAGGAAATAATCCTAAGGTTATAATAAAAACATGCTAAAATATTTATGCATAAGGACAGATACTAAATTGTTATTAATATTAGTAAAAACTGTAAACAACTTCAATGACACCTATAGAAAATTGCTTAAATTAAATAGATGCAATTTTATGCATCAATAAAAATCATACTGTAGAAAAACATATTTACTTATGAGGGAAAAGACTTCAAAATATATTACACAAAAAGTAACCTACAGCTCACTAAAGTGACCTCAATTTTACACAAACGGAAAAGACTGGAAGGATAGTCCTCAAAATGTGAACAGAAGTTCCTCAAGTGGTAGGATGAGTGACTAATTTTATTTGTTGTGCTTTTCTGTATTTCCCAATTTTTCTTTAACAGAGAAAAATACTTGGCACAGGTAGTCAATAAATATTGGTTGAATATTTTATATACACATTTAATTAATGACTCTTTAAAACTTTGTAAGTATAACAGAGCTTAAGACCTTTACACCTCCTCACAAAAAAAAAATATATAGATATATATATATTAGTAAAACACTTGATTTGACTCTTTCTCCTCAGTTCTTTTTTTTTTTTTTGAGGAAGATTAGACCTGAGCTAACTACTACGAATCCTCCTCTTTTTGCTGAGGAAGACTGGCCCTGAGCTAACATCCATGCCCATCTTCCTCTACTTTATACGTGGAACACCTACCACAGCATGGTGTGCCAAGCGGTGCCATGTCCGCACCAGGGATCCGAATCAGCAAACCCCGGGCCACCAAGAAGCCAAACGTGCAAATTTAACTGCTGTGCCACCAGGCTGGCCCCTCTCCTCAGTTCTTAAATGACTCCACAGTATAGCAGAGTTTACTGGATAAACTAGACAATATATGCAACAGATACTGCCTCAAAACAAGTGACTTACAATGTGAATACGCAAAGCCATGGTATAGAGGGAGGCAAACCAATACTGTTAATTAGTAAGAAATGTTTTGCTTCTTGTAAATTTTAGCTCTACCACCTAACTCTTTAAAAGCTGCTCTTTGTTAACCTGGACTTTTCTAGTTACAGAAAAATGCTGGTACCTTTGTTGGTATTTTCCGATGCAGTCTTCAACAAGGTAAGAATGTCCAGATTGTCACCAATTCTTGCATAGTAAGAACTATCATGACCAAGGGCATCCAGCAAGCTTACATCAGCACCATTTTTAATTAAGATTTCTACTGCATCTTTGCAACCATACTCGCAGCCTAGCATGAGAGCAGTTCTAAAAGAAAAGATAGAAGAATAAGAGACCTTGAGAAAGACCCAAGAAAATATTTCAGAAATCTTCTTTCAGAGGCCCCCTTCTTAGAATAGATCTCGAGAAGGGGAAAGGGAGAATTACAGATAGAAATCATTGGTGTATTCCAAGTAAAATAACATCAATTACAGAAGTAAAATAAACTAAGGGAATCTTGGGGTACAGAGATGTCCTCAGTTTCTCAGAAGGAAGTGGGGGTGTGCCCAGGCGCAGTATGAGAGAAAACACCTTCACAACATCTCTGCTGAAACATGCCAACCTCCAGGACACCAAGAAGCGCCTTCTTCTAAAAGAATCACTAATGAAGAAGCAGACTGCAGATGTCATTTTTTATTCTTCTCTCTTACATCTTATTTGAGCCCACTTCACTAAAGACTTTTTTAAAGCTTAAAATAACTGGGATATAATTCCTCTTTCTTCAGGTTTTTGACCCAAACACAGGCCTTAATCACTGCTTGTATTCCACTTACCCTGTCATCTTCCCCCTCCTTCCTTCTGCAGTAGACTCCGAAGGAAAATAAGAAGTGGGTATAATTCCAAGGAAGAGGAGGACCAAAGGGGTTGGAAAGGCCAAGTCACAAAGGCAGAGTTTCAGAATCACTGTGCATCCAGCTGGTTCTGGGGAGCCGTGATAAAAGAATTACCTGTTTTGTTTGTCTCTGGAGTTAATATCCGCCCCTCTATCTATCAGCAGTTGACATATTGTTGGCCTACACATCTGAGTAGCCAGAACAAGTGGTGTCCGCCCATCCTAAGCAACAAGAAAAATGAAACAGCATTAAGACAACAAACGTCCCAAAATATCAAAGTTAGAATACATGAATTGAAATGAGAATAAACATAAACTGACTTACTACATCTTTGGCATTCACCAAGGCCCCATGGTCACAAAGCAGCTGTATGCTAGAAGGACAGTCTGCCATAGCTTTGAGGAACAAAGGAAAGTGATAAATGGTGAACATCTGTCGGTAAGACATGTGGTGTTTTACTAGGTCCATATAAGGCATGCATTCTTCAATTTCTAAACTACCAAGCATCACATCCTTTACTCTCAGTTTAGCATTATAAGCATCAATTTTCTATCTGAAAATGGATTAGACAAGATCATTTTATAAGTTTTGTACAATTAGGACCAAGGAATATTGTCATCCTTACAGAAGAATATACTGCTATTCTAAAGGTAAACACAGATAATAAAATCATGAATCTTCTATTTGCAGTATATTTCTAAACATGGCTATAATTGACTTGATCCTTGAAGCGTTTTTTTTTTTTTTTTCAAGAATCAGACCCTTGGGGCTGGCCCCGTGGCGGAGTGGTTAAGTTTGCGTGCTCTACTTCAGCAGCCTGGGGTTTCGCTGGTTCGGATCCTGGGCACAGACATGGCACCACTCGTCAGGCCACACTGAGGTGGCATCCCACATGCCACAACTAGAAGGACCCACAACTAAAATATACAACTATGTACTGGGGGGATTTGGGGAGAAAAAGTAGAAAAAAAAAAGAAGATTCACAACAGGTGTTAGCTCAGGTGCCAATCTTTAAAAAAAAAAAAAAAGAATCAGAGTCTCTTTTTTTTTTTGGTGAGGAAGATTGGCCCTGAGCTAACAACTGTTGCCAATCTTACTCTTTTTGCTTGAGGAAGATTGTCACTGAGCGAACATCTGTGTCAATCTTCCTCTATTTTATATGTGGGACGCCACCACAGCATGACTTGACAAGTGGTATGTAGGTCTGTGCCCGGGATGCAAACCTGTGAACCCCGGGCAACCAAAAGGGAGTGTGCAAACTTACCCACTAGGCTGCCAGACCGGCCCCAATAATCATTTTTTAATAGAAGAGCCACAGTAAATAAAATATGACTCATACAATTCATATTTCCTTTTAAAAGCAGAGATTTTAATGTCTGCCTTTAATGATCCAAAGCAGGGTCATTTTGCTAAAAATTATATTATAAAATCACACAATTCTTCTTCTCTAACACTAGAGTTCATATTTGTATTAGGAAAAAAATTATTGTGAAATTCATAAAATAGGATTGTGTTTACACCCCCCATGAGTTTTTTTTAAAGCCCTATGAGTTGACACTAGTTTACTAGCACAAAAAGTACTGACAAAGTCAGCTTTTTTCTTTTTTGTTAAAATTCTTTTGTTAAAATTCAATAGAATAAAACCAAACATACATAAGAAAATTAATTTTCATTTCTTACATCTTTAATTCAGCCAATCCTTTATATAAAATACATAATCAATCCTAAAAAGATGATAAACAAACTGAATACATTAATTCAGGAATTGTAAAATTAACAACCATTGAGGCCCAATAAAAATAAGAATGAAAAAATGTAAAGCATAATAAATTCCAGAGTTGTAATATATTGAAAAGTAACGTAAGTATTAAAGGTGCTATGATGGAGAGTACTAGCTGCTCACCCAACTCCGATCGCCCTTTCTTCCATGGTAATAAAGTGCTGGGCACATGGTGGCTCACCTAGAGACCACAGTTCCCAGTCTCCCTTGCATGTAGGCATGACCCATGTGGGTTAGATCATGCCAATGGAACCTGACAGGAGTGATGCCTACTACCTTCTGAGTCTAGGACTTAATAGAGTGGTTATACACTCCTCCATAATCTTCCCCTTCCTATTAGCAGAAAAACAGGTGTCTGCTATCAGCTTCAGCCTTAAAGACGAAGACAGCACCCTAGGCGCTGGTAGAACTGCAAAATGGAAGAAATCTGGATCCCTGAACGACCATATGGAGCAGAGACACAAGCCAATCTGAACATTAGGACTGTGATATGAAAGAAATAAATTCTGTGGGTTTTTTAAAGCCAACATTATTTTATAGTGTTTGTCACGGCAGCCTAGCCTATCCCTAAGACAAAAATTGCTATCAGGAGTCAGGTACTGCTATAACACATACCTACATTATATGGTACTGGTTTAGTGGTTGGGTTCTAAGTGGTGAATAAACATATTTCAGGCTAGAAACTTTATGATTTTTCTAATGCGGTGGCAAACCATTGGATAGAGCTATCATCTGTGATGATTTAGGAGCTATACCACGTGACTTTGGAGCAATAGGGAAGAGCCAAAGTTTTAGTGCATACTGGCAGCTACTTACTGCTTTTGTAAGGTATTATAAGAAAGAGATGAGGTCAAGCAAGAATTAGCCAATTTATGAACAGAGATGGAAGGGAAAAGAGAGTGTCTAGACATTTGGGACCTCGCAGGTGTGGAGAAGCCAATTGTTTCTCTATATTAAACAGCAAGATACAAACCTTTTCTCAAAGACCTCCCAATAAGGAAAAAAGAAAGAAAAAGATTCAGTCCTGGAATAAAGATCAGATTGAGGATATTATATTCCCATCCAAGACTATTATTTCAGATGGCTTTGAGGTAGCAGCATTAAAATGAGGTAGAGAATCATGAGTCTAGAAATAAAGGAAGGTTAAGAACTTTATGTCCAGAAAATAACCTTGGAGATGGTTCCTGACATATGGCAGTGGCTGGCAACAAACAGACCAGAAATCTACCAAGGTTCGGAGGGAACTGCACTACCCAAGACCCCAAAAGCGCAGTCAGCTAAAACTCCTAATTGTTCCTGCCCTTAAGCTGCCTCTACAGAGGGCATACCCTCAAACATCCAATTTATCTGTGACCTTGGAGGATAACGGACAAGGAAGAATCTCCCAGAAGGCAGAGCTTGGGCCCACAGAGGACAATGGACAAGGGATTTTTCCCAGAAAACAGAACCAGGGCAGCATCCAGAGGAGCTAATCGTGAAATTTACTCCAAGACCTCAGCAGGAAGCCTTTGCAAGTTTTGCTCAGCAGCATTTGATACCTGCTACTGACCAGTGACTCCTGGGTTTCCTGATTCTCCCTTTTCTGAAAGTAAGTCTTTATTTCACTTATCCCATTCTTGTTCCATCTCTATATATTGTGAGGAGCAGATCTCTTCTCTTTGAGTTTACAGATTGCTGGACCATGAAGGGCCACATCAGAGCCAAAAAGAGAAAACTGCACATCACCCTGAAATCCCAGACTTTAAGGTAGCTTCAGGAACTAAATTGGCTGTGTATCCTCCCCTTTGGGGAGGGAATAAAGGGTTCATGTGTGGGAAGTAGGGGCTGTGGGAATATCTGGAAGCCCAGAGGATTGGACTGTGGCAGAAAATGCAATTTGTTACCAAAATCTGTTTTCCCCTTCCTCTACAGTGGAGCAGCTGGGCCATGACTAGTCACCTAGAGATAATATTTCTGGGCCCCCCTTGTAGATAAACAGAACCAATTGACTTTGCTCTTGTCAATGCAATAAGACCAGAGAGCTATCTATCACTTCCAAACCTGGGCCTTAGAGTTTGGGCATGTGTTCCTCCATGCTCTCTTTCCCCTTCCTGCCAGCTGGAACATGAATATGATTGCCACCCTGCTTCAACCATACAGCTGAGGAAGGTAAGAGAGGAAAGTAGAACAAGATTGAAAGAATTCAGTTCACGAATGACCTCAAGTCACATGCCAACCTATACCACTCAACAATTTTTTTATAAGCAGCTGTTATTGGAGTTCTTTTATTACATCAACTTGGTTTTCATTCTAACTTCATCTGTACATCTACTGAATAAATTTTAAGATTTCAATTGACTAAGTTGTACCAGTTTTAAATACAGGGATAATAAAACCTATAGTATACAAAAACTTACACATATTTAATGTATACATTTTCATGAGTTTGGACATATGCATACATCATGATATCATCATCACAATCAAAGTGCTAAACATATGTGTCACCTCCAAAAGTTACATTACAGTGATATGAAATTCGGCACTGACACCTCCAAATCAAGGCAACCACCACCACCATTAATTAAGAAATGATTAAATGCCAGGCACTATTTATGAGTCAGTTATAACCACTCACTGCAGTAGTATTATTAATTTCATTCTGCAGATGAGGAAAATGAGGTTCAGACATGTTAACGAGGTAAATGTAGCCTTTAAGGAAGAGAAATGTCGTCTTCCTTCCTATTTCTCCTACCAGTTCCCAAACACACACACACACATACACACACAGTGCTCAGAGCTCCTTGAGAACAGAACTGTGGTTTATTTATCTTTGGACTTTCAGTATCTAGCAAACTGGCCTGTAAATAATGGCCGAATGAATCTTTAAGCTGTACAGTCTAATAAATTTCAAATTCAAGTAAACAAAAACTTCATAATATTGTTTCTCCATGAATTATACAAATACACGCATGTTAAAACTCTGAAACTCATTTAAATGCCTAGTCATTTTAACAAAGACTTGTTGATGGCCCAGTGAAACCTTGGCTCACCTGCATCGTGAAGTGCCGTCCTTCCCTGCAGGTCTACATGTTCAGTGGGACAATTGTACTGTTAAAACATAAAAACTTAGTAGTCTAGGAGAGTTTTATTTTAAAATTAAATATCAAAACTCAAATAACAGCTGTTATCTAATCTTAAAATATTCCATTTATCAGAAACTCTAAAGGCTACTAGACAAGCCACTAAATATTTTGACATGAAACAAATATCATAACATTATACCACAACTTTAACGGTACTTCACTAAACAGGAAAACATATGGTACATTACAATAGAATGAGATATAGAAACTATGCTATTGTTTGGGGGTTTTTTTTCCAGCAAGAGTTAAAACTTGAACAATTGAATCAGAAAAAACAAGAGTTCCGCTGTGAAACTTCATGGCAAAAAATACATCCTCTATCTGAAAACTTAATTCAGCCCACTAGTTCATAGAATTTTGTGGTTGCCTGATTACAAGTTTAACTAATAGTGTTACTATTATGTAGTCTAAGTTATTGACGTTTATATAGAAATATATGGATCCTATGCTGTTACCACTTTATCTTAAGTCATATATTGGACAACAGAAAATTCCAATCTCCAGCTAATGCCAACAGGAAGGTCAAGTCTTTGTTATTTATTTTTAATACACTGAGTTATGCAATTCACTTCCCTCAGAGTTTCTGCTCTTTATTGTTCACATTCTTTCACAAACGATGGAAAAAATATTATGCAAGCTAAGAGGCAAAGTTAGCCTACTATTTTCTTTGATCTCAAATTCCAAAAACACATTAAAAACACATCTACTGTTTGCAGTCAAAATAATAAAGCCCAAGTATTAACCACTTTTACTACCTGTAGAAGTTTTTGTAGACACAATGCATGTCCATACTTTGCAGCCAGGTGAAGAGCATTTCTCCCTATAAAAAAAATATTTAAAAATATATGATAAGGGTTATTTTCTTCACATGTGAATTTTCCATAGAAATATGACTCATTTTTCCAAAATAAGTTGACAGAATACTTAATTTGTAAGCATGCCTTCAGTTTCTAAAATGTTTCACCCAGTTTCAATTTTTTTTTTTTTTTTTTTTTTTTTTTTAAAGATTTTATTTATTTTTTTTTTTTCCTTTTTCTCCCCAAAGCCCCCGGTACATAGTTGCGTATTCTTCGTTGTGGGTTCCTCTAGTTGTGGCATGTGGGACGCTGCCTCAGCGTGGTCTGACGAGCAGTGCCATGTCCGCGCCCAGGATTCGAACCGACGAAACACTGGGCCGCCTGCAGCGGAGCGCACGAACTTAACCACTCGGCCATGGGGCCAGCCCCCACCCAGTTTCAAATTTTAATAAGAGATATACACACCAAAACAATGAAGGTGGGAAGAAAAATTAAACATGAAAACCCATAAAGAGCAAGAACTTTGCCTTATTCACCAGTGTATCTCCAATACCTAGAACAGTGCTTGAGACAGAATAAATAATTAAATATTGGCCTAGGAAAGAAAGGAGGGAGGGAGGGAGAGAAAGAGAAAGACAAAAAGAGAACAGGGAAAGGAAGGAGAGAAAAATACCTAGATTTCACATAACATTTCCAAAAAGGCAGTGTGGATACAAAAAGGGAGGAAGTTAAGAGATGTACGTCAAAGAAAGGGTATTTCCTTACTAATTTTTATGCTTCAACTAAAATTCAAAGTTCATTAAGAGATCTTGTCTCTGAAAATCAGACAACTTGTTCAAATAAAATGTGTATTAAAATCTGCAAATTTAAAGGAAATTACAGGCAAGAGGAGCAGGGAAGAAGTTACCAGATAATCTGAAAGGTGAACGCTGAATATTGAAAAAAGGTAAATTTGAAGAGAACATTCTACCTCCAAACACTATTCCTCCTAATTGTATTTCTTTACACATACATCGCTCTTGGATGGTGAAAATATAAGGGCTTCATCAGGCTATTCTAGTTTCTAATCTTAAATGTTCTTAATTTCCCTCTAAATTCACAAACTTCTTACAACATAACTTGACTTCACAAGTAGATCTTTCTGCTAGAAAAGAAGTAATTTACGTTCTGTTCATCCTTGATGAATGAATAAATTGACTTTCAATTATCATTCAATTTTATATGAGTTTAGATAAGTGAATAATTTTTCCTGTGTCTGATTGCTTCTCTGTAGCTGACTAACCAGGTTCTAGAATAAAAAGCAGTGAATCCAGATTTTTAAACAGGTACAGATACAACATATTCAACCACTCCTAATCATCGATCATCCGATTACAAATAAGTCAGATGTGATGATTTCAAATTTCAATTTGCTACTATTAATGGACAAGTTTCCTAGAGACATTTCACACTGTGAAAAGTGACTATATTAACTGGCATTCACATGAGAAGTAGGAGAGTATGGCGTGGGATGGTGGGGATAGGCACAGTGGTGACAGTCCCTGGTGTTCAATAAAATGCCACAGAAACTTGGTCACATAAAAATGTCAGGGCTAAGGAAATACCAACTCCAGCCACTTGAGATAGGACAGCAAAAAATTAACAGAACATCACACCTAACACATACCTTGATCAATTACACCAAAGGTGCATTGTGACCTGGGTCACAAATACCTCAAAACTGCAATAACTAGAAATCTGGTTATTTTCAACACACTTTCGTATTGCTAGCAAATAAAGGAGTTAAGATAAAACACAAAGTTTTTCTAAACAAATTTTTATCAACTATTTACATCTGGATTATAACAAACAATACAACAGTAAATGAGACAAGGTCCTTGTCCTTAGGAAAGGACAACTCTAAGGACAAACATAATAAAACAAATCAAATAAAAATATGACTAAACAACAGCAAAAACCAAAACCAAAAAGAGTTAAGCAGGGTATGTCAGAACGCAGCGTATGAAACGATGTCTGCTGAGCTTCGGAAAGCATTTGAGCTTGGTCTGCACTGGAGGAGGGCGGGCAAAAGTCACTAGATTGGCCACTAGGCAAAAATGTCCATAGCAGAATGAACACAGACAAAAACAAGAAAGACACTAGTTTGAATTGGAATTAGCATAATAAATAAAGTCTTCAGAGTTCTGAAGAGGTATGGTTAGCCCAAAATTTCCAAAAATAAATATTCCTCTGCATCAATGGAAAGCATATTTATAAGTAATAAACAGTTTCTTGTTGGTCCAAAGGTGGCAGATACAGTGAGTTTAGTCTTCAATTAAGAATCTGAGGTATCTTTAGGCAAAGATTTTCCTTACTAACTCAGTTGTGATCTCTCTCTCTCTCCCTCTCCTTCTCTTCCATTTCTAAACACAATGCTGGTTAACAGTAACGTATTTATTTGTCCACACTTGGAGTCATAGAACGAAACATTAAAGTTGTTAAGAAAATTCTCTGCTTGACATCAACTCCCATATTTAATTGAATAACAAAGTAGAACTGCAGAGAAATAGTTGTCAAGAGTCTCAGAGAACTGAGAATGATTAACTGAAGAATGGAAAACTAACATGTTCCTTGAAGAAAAGCAATAGCTTCATTCAGATACTTAAAAGTCTATCTGGCGCTGTGCAAACTTACGCTGGAAGATTTTAAAAGATAGACAGATATGATAAGTTTAAGCAGGAGACCCAGTAAGAGACAGACTTAAACTGTCTACAAGAAAGCATTTTTTACAAATATAGCTAACACAGAACAGGTTTCCTCATGAGGCATAATGGTTAAGAACACAGACTCTGACCGAAGGACCCTGCACGACGAGCTGCTGGATGCTCAGTGCCTCAAGCCTCACTGGGTTGACGTGAGGATAAAATGAGTTGTACATGTCAAGTGCTTAGCAGAGTAGCTACACAGACGTTATATAAGTGTCAGCTATTCTTGTTATCATCATTATTGGTGATAATGTTATTGTTCTGAGGCAGTTGGTTCTCCATCAGAAGAAAAGTCCGACCAAATTCCAAATGCTCACAACAGTGAGGAGTCATATACTGAATGTATGAGTATAAACTAAACGGCCCCTAACGGTTCTTCAAAATCTGAGATTTAGGATCCTGTAACACTACCAAGACTGGCACTAGACTTCGGGTCTCCAACTGTTCATCAGTTTAGTAATCCTTTCTCCTAAATTCCCTGTACTTGCCCTCTCCCCGACAAAGATGCCTCAGAAGTAAACCTTTTCTTGACTAATTAAAAACAGAAAATTAAGGACTTCTCTTTGTCAATCACATTTAGGTCTGATTAAGAACATTCGCAATGGACAATGCTTGTCTTCCCTGTTTTGTAATTGACTATGGAGGCACACATACCTGCAGTGTCACTGGTTGTAATATCAACTCCATGCACAAGGATGGCATTCAAACACTCCAGATTCCCCTTTGAGGCCACAACATGAAGGCTAAAACAAAAAGAAAATATTTGCTATGTCATGGAAACTATCAAAGGCCAACTTAAAAGTTACGTTAACGTCACCTTTTATTCAACACACACACACACACACACGCATGCACACACATTTTAAAGACTGCATTAGAACATCTATACATTTCATAGAAGATAAAAAAAAACCTATCCCATATTACTGAAAAATTCATCTTAACCTGAATTTATAAGGGGGTTATAAATTTCTAGAAATACTTTCTACTTTCTAGAAATACCTCCTTAGAATCAACGGACTACTCCAATGTTCAATAGCTTTAACAACAAAAATTTATACTATAATACCATTAACTTCTATAGTTTATTACTTATAACAAAGGCACTGGTGTTTGGAGCTTAATAAATGCACTAAAAAATGCCTATCAGATTATTTTGCTTGGTTTCAAATATACTGAAACTGCCAAAACAAATAAAGTTACAGGAGAACGTTAAGGCCAAAGACAGATCAAAACACTTATCTCTTCTCTTTAAAATGATCAAATTAAACTTGAAATAGAAAAGCCTTCAAAACAACAAGCTAAGCTACACTTAAAAGCCATAAAAGAACTGGCATAGTCTTCTTCCCCAAAAGTACCAAGGACTACCATCTAATTCTTCCTTTTGCTCAAAGACCTGTGTGACTGGTTGAAGTTTCACACAGACAAGCACAATTGAACAAGTTTCCTCATAAGGCAAGTAAAGCCTGCTTACAAATCTAACTTTAGGCCATCACGTATTCAAGATACAACATAAAATGTCCCATTGTTTCTTTGATCACCTAACACTTCATTAGTCAACAAATATTTTGTGTGCAGTAAGAACTGACATTGACTATACTCTACCAAATCCAAACTGATAAGTAAATACAGTAGGACTTGTTGGCAAAAGATGTAGAACTCAGGCTGAAATAGAACTGAGGCCCTAAACAAGTACTACAATAACCACGGTGAAGATGCCAGAAGATAAAGGATGCGCAAGTGCTCGGCAAGGTGCCCAGATACAGGCACACACTGTATTACACCCTCAGCAGGATCTTCCCTGCCTTCAACATTTAAAAATTTTACATTTTCCCATTCCCTGAAACCTTAGTACTCCTAGTTCTCCCATCTCTGCTGTTATTATTCTATACAGAACTATACATATTCTAATATATAAATTCAAGATTTATTTTCTTTATAGTCTATTAATCTCTTCCTACTCAACTATAAACTCAATGAAAACAGGGATTTTTGTCCGTTGTGTTTCCTGTTACATCCCCAGAAACAATTACAGTACCAGACAGATGATGGGCCCTCAAATATTTAAATAACGGAATGCTTAGAGGCAAATCTGGAGACAGCTTGCAAATTCACTTCCAGATATTATAACAGTCAGTCATGTGTCTCTATTAGTATTATGACAAATATAAATGCAAACTAGAGACCAAGCACTACTAAGTAAAGCAGGCTCGTGTATGATTTGAATTAGAGAGAAAGAAATGTTTCTGATAAAAGGAATATAGTGTTCTTAAGAGTCACACACATTCTTCTTGTAGTAGAATTAAATTGCTATAAGACTGAGGGTATCAATTAATCTCTCTGCAACAACGAAGTAGGGAGTTATACCATGCAATGCATAGTTAGAACCTTTTGAGGAATGGCAATTTTCTTCAAGCAAAGGTTTTTAGCTTCCCAAGAATCTTGAAGATATTTTTTCATTTGCTTATTTTCATCTCCTAGGTCACAAAATTTGCAAGACTTCTTTCTTCAAAATCAATCAACATTATACTGATAATGTACCAAAGGGCAGAAATCACAACAAATCTATGATGCATTATTAATGCTGGGGGTGCTATAAACAGTAGACGTGCTTCAGAAAGAAGATATATCAATCACTAAAATGTATGCAAAGAGTTGTAAAGGAAATTGGAAAAGCTGTTTTATAGAAACAGTCTTTTGTAAAAAGTCAACTTTTAAGTTTTCTTTTTTTAAACAAGACATACTTCTGCTTTCATAACAGGAGATCCAGATAGTTTGGACAATCCCCACCTCTGAGGATGACTAGAAAAGTTGCATAAAAATAAGACATGCGGGGGCCGGCCCAGTGGGGTAGTGGTTAAGTTTGTGCGCTCTGCTTCAGGGGCCCTGGGTTCACAGGTCCAGATCCCAGATGCAGACCTACACACCAGTCATTAAGCCATGCTGTGGTGGCATCCCACATACAAAATAGAGGAAGATTGGCACAGATGTTAGCTCAGGGCGAACCTTCCTCGCCAAAAAACATAAAAAATAAGATGTGCTTAAAGGCATCTGGGAGCTAAAAGACAGTGAAAAATTACTAGGGTAGTATACAGGGAAGGACAGGCCCAGAAAGGTAAGCTTAGTATTTGAGGCCATTTTTGCCTAGGAGGCTTTGCTGACTCCAGAGAAAACAGCTGGGAGGCTGGAAGAGCACTTTTGACAGCCTGAGCGGATGGGGTGACAGGAATTGGAATCCCCGCCTCTCCAGGTGGCAGTGGAGATCTTTGGTGAATCTGCCTTATTTTGTGTTGGCAAGGGGCTGCATCCTAGGGGAGAGGTGAATGGGAAGAAAACAGACCCTTGCAGTGACTACGGCTGGGCTTCAAATATTTCATTTTCAAAACTGAGTTGAGGTCAAGAAGCATATGTTACTTTGGTCTTACTTTTCAAAACTAAAAACAAAATCATTCAAAATAAAATTGTTTTTACAATAACATGCAATACAGAAAATATATTTACAACATGGCCTATACCTGACTAAATATAAAATGCTTTAATTAAGGAATAATACAGTTTATGTGTGAGTAACAAAAGGAAAATATTTTATCCTATGAATACCAGAAAGAATTCTACCTTCTACAGTGAAAACCTAAAAAACTAATACCATTCAAATATTTCACAAACTAAAGTTCATAGTTCATCAAATTACACATGATTTTTATAACTCTGACCATTAATACAAATAATTTCACTCAACACTAAACCTTAGATGAAAAAAATCAGAACAAAAACTCAAGCAACCATTCATTCAAAGCATGCGTGGGCAAAACTGAAGAAATAGGTTTCACTGAAGAGTTTCATCCCATAGATTCCCTTCATCTTTTAACATTTTGGCATTTGGAAAAAAAGAAAAATGAAAAACAAAGTCACTTTTAGATATTACATTTTTACTATTTACACTGTGAACTCTATAAATAGCTTAAAATTTACCAAAAATAGGAACAGGACTCAAAATCACCAAGATTTCTATAGCCATCAAATTGGCTACTTGATAAAATTGAAACAGTATAAAAAAAGTGGAACTTTTCACACTGTATTGCTCTTAAAAATTACTTAATTTTTAAGTCACGCTTTGCTATTTTTACTATACTTAAATATCTAAGCATTCTAAGGCAGTGACCCACATCAAACATTAACCATTCACTTCTTAATATTCATTGCTAGATTCAGTATCTGGTTTCCAGTTACTGTATAATATTCTAAATAAACTCATGCAAGTATCAGACTGAGAGGAATTTGAAGAAATGAGACTTCACCTGTACCTCTAGAAGGTTTCCCAGATAAGGTTTTACTGCTATATTCATAGAGGGCAGTGACAGAACCTAGATCTACCCTTTAGCTCCCATTGCTTCCCACCCCAACAGGACGGGAAGTGATGAAGACTGGGGAGGGGAGGGAAAAAAGATAAGCATATAAACAAAGCCAGGAGTCCTCCTCAGTGACAAAAACAAAAGGGCAGGATTGCTACCTGTGTCTCCCTAAGCCATACTACTTATTCTGCCTCCCTTTCTGTTCTAGAGGTTCTCATTTAAATTAATAACTCAAATATAAAAATGGATTGGGAAGCTGAGAGGAAAAGACAGTGTAACTTACAGAATTCTTCCAAGACAGAAAACAGGTTCACATCCCAGCTTTGTGACTTTTCATGAGATTAGGCCAAGTTTACTCTGTAAACTTTCTCCTATTACTTTTAGAGGACCTCTGAGAGGATCAAATATGATAAGGAATGTGAAAAAGCTTATAAACGAAAATGCACCAAATAACCCAGACTGTGGTTTGCCATAGGGCCTAAAAGACTGGGCAGTATTTTTTAGCATTCTCTCTCTAGCTTGAAAATCTTTCAAACTGAGATTTATTAGTCTATAGTGTTTGAAAGTTAAGTGTGAGAGATTTTATAATGTGGGTTTTGAAGAAGACTTCTTAAATTAAAAAGTTGATAACCATTTCATTTGTATCCCAAGCGTCTACCCAATCCCTCGTAGGCTAGTATCAGTAATACTTACGCAGATCTGCCTTCCACATCTAGTTTGCCTGGACTGACTCCCTTTTTAGCAAGAATTGAGGACACTTTTTCTACATCTCCCCTTTCTGCTGCTTTCATCAATCGGTCATCATATTTGTTCCAATCTGCTGCATGCTACAAAAAGGAAAAAAAAGTAAACATGGCATACTATATCTACTATATCAGTAAGACTTTCTAAAGAAGGAAGGCAAGGCGAAGGGAAAGCAGCACTGCATGATGCATCACTCGATTTCCAACCACATCCCAAATTTCCTCTCCCTGCTGCGCTAACTTCACGAAAAGAACCTTTCCAAAACACATGATATACAAGAAAGATTTTAAAGTATACTTTTGAGAAAGACCATATCTCTCATGTTCTCTGCTCTGTTTTCTTTGCCTCAGAGCAAAGAAAGGAAATTAATAATTGCTGAACACCTACCCTGTGCCAGGCATGAATTACTAAAAGAACCCTAGTAAACTAAAATTATCATCCTCATTTAACAGACGAGAAAAGTTATGGCTCCAGGGTCATTAAATGACTTCAGTGGCAAGCCCAACCATGACTTCTCATGACATCCAAAATCAGTGTGCTTTTCCTATTCTCTAACTCATACTTTCAGATTTGGTTCTGGTTACATATCTCACAAGACCCCTAGATGCAGTGGAATTCTGTAAACGTTTTAAGACCTGCCCCCAACTTGTTTAAAAGGTACAGTTGGAAATGTATTTATGGAGGCAAATTACACACACTCAATAGAGAAAGCAATTCATTATGCTTAAATACTAGAATAAAGAGAAACTTCTACATAGAAAAAAACTAAAAAAAGACGAGTATTAACTATTTAAAAATTCTGAGATAGGATTACAGGTGACTTTCAGAATGCGTTTTTTTTACAGTCAACATTTTTGGTTTTGGTAAAAAGATTTTCTATTTTAACAAAAACTCAGTGCATATGTATTTAAAAGGAAGATCAAAGACAATGTTTCAAATAAAAGGATGTATTACGTGATATACATTTTAATTATATCAAAGTTATCTTCAGTTTTGATTGGAGAAAATATATTCACAACATTCTGAAGCCAATAACTTGGATCTTTTCTTAGAAAGCAGAAATGTAGAACCCAGAACGAAAATATACATTATTTAAACAAGTAGGTTTTAGCCTTTTAGAATATTATAAACTTATTGCTAAATTCTATGCTAAGTCAGTATTATTTCTAGAATAAAAAAAGATATGTACACGTTTTTCACTTAATTTACAAAGCAATTCCTATGCCCACAAATACAATAACAATCCTCTGGAGGAAAAAATGAATCACTTATATGAAGTATATCCTCTAAATGTTTGATCAGTATAATTATTTTATATCTACTAGCCCTTCCCAACCAAAAAAATCACCAATTTTATAGCTAAATCAGCAATGTATTCATTAAATACTTGAAGTGAAAAAATATGAAAACTGAAATTAAAAAAAAGATAAAGACATTAAAATTTTAACTCACTCCTGAAACATAACATTTCAATGGGATCTGGTTCAAGTACCTACACAGACTTCAGAACTGCTGTCTCTAAATTAGTCACATGTGGAGTGAACCCACTTCCTTCTAACTTCTAAAGTTCAAACTATCAACTATAAATAGAGACTAGCCCTCCTTATTGGCTCAAAGTCTAAACTACATTTTAGGCATCCCCTTTCTTCAGCTTTAAAACAAAACAGTTCACTGACTCTAAAGTGGGGAGTGGTAGCAGACGTAGGCTTACGAGACTTTGTGTTTTCAAATACCTAAGAGATTAAGTCACGTTTAGCACACAAATACTTGCTCTAAATTGATTAGTTTATCCTTGCAGTTAAAACCACCTCAACTTTATTTCCAAGTAAATTCACTGGTGGGGAAAGGAGCTATTTAAAACACTAAAAAATTATAAAATCCAAAAGTAAGACTTTTTAAAAGATAACTAAACATGATTAAAGTCTCATTATCATGTGATTTTCAGTTCTACTCCATCAAGCACTGTTTTCCATTTTGCTCTACTGTCAGTTAACAGAAATACTGCTCAATTATTAAGATTCTATTATGTGCTTTTTAAACCCAGAAAAAGAAACAAGAACATTTATTTTCCATCACTAACCCCAATCTGCTAATCAAATAAATCAGAAGGAATACAATAAGACATAGAAACCAAAATTAATAAAACAGTAACACATTTTAAAAGAATACAGTTCAGAAAGCCCAATCCAGAATCTTTTGTTACACTGGACTACAGGGATACCTACTCTGTTCTTAGGAGCACAAGAAAACCAACAGTTCATCATAGACAGGATTTAGTCTCTTGTTGCTAACAGCAAACCACTTCACATTAAGTTACAAATCTCTGTAGCTCACAAAGCAAGCTCTCAGACCAACTCCTGACAAGTGAGTCCGTCCCTCTCTTTACAGCTCTTCCTGTTCTACAGTCTTCATGCTGTGCTACACTTAGCTTGGATCTCTAGCGATATTTTCTTCGTCTTCAGGATCCTTCTCCGCCTTCATACCGCTTGAAAATTATCTTCCTTGTTGTGCAGCACTTGATGAAGAGCAGCCCCAAATCAGGTACTGTAACTCCTCCTATTTCTTATTCTTTAGAAGCTATCTTTCAAAGCTGTCCCTTTCAGGGACTCCACTGGAAAACTTGAACAGCACTCTGCATCCTGCCGCCTCAACACTGCAACACAGACGCTGCAGCGCATGATAAAACTGTCCACATCCGAATCATCCCGTAAACAGTGTGGAGACTGTCTCCCATTGGTCAGGTTCTATTTTAGATTCCATAGGACTTGACAGCTGAGTGACAGAAAGGAGTAGCTAAGAATATACTGTAAATGCATGCTTCTCCTCTGAGTAATAAATTTCAGGTCTACTAGAGACAAATGACTCAAACATATTGTAAAAGATGCTTTTTATACCAAAACAACTTGTGTGACATTATGACAATTTTGTTAAGAGATAAATCTGGTTATTCCACAAAACAATATTTAATACCAGTTTCAGTTTTAGGATCATCTACCATGAAGTTATAATAGCCTTGATAAACAGAATATAAAATTCTATTTTAAGCAAACGTGTCACACTTTAATTTAAGGAAACACAAACACACAGAGCAACACTTCCAAATTTTCTCCATTTCCCTTCATACCCCATCAGCGTCATCCTGAATACAACTAGGTTTCAGTTTACAACTGCTGCCAGTCTGTCTCCTTACATGTTAAATGAGAAGAGCCAGAGGCACTGCCAAGACATTAAATAGACAGCATTATGATGAATACTTTTCAACAAATTTTAAATTTAACTCAGCATTCTTAATTTCCAAGTTTAGCACCCTGCCTGATATGACAAGCAAATATTTTACCATGGAAAATCAAATTACCTGGATTCAGGGATTAAAAAAACAAATAAACTAATTAAATACTAAACAAATAAATGCATATTAAACACTAAGTTAGACTGTAAATAAAACTCCATTTGGGGACAAAGCAGACAACTTCTCCACATTCTATGATGTTTAACATACTTGTATCAACATACTTTATATATTAAGGATGGTAACAAACATCCACAAGCTCCAGGGTGTTTTTACTTTCTAGTTACCACAATAGTATGAGAGCAATTTGCACTTCCCCCAAAAAGCAAGATTTGGGAAAACTGCTTCACGGGAATGCAAAACATCCCAACATAAGTGCTTACAGGAAGGTGGTAACTACTATACTACAGATCATGCTGCCAGTGAAAAATTCTGTTATGAATTTCATCAAGAAATCTGTTTCCTGCTTTTTAAATTTAAAATATTAGGCACACAGTCTAATTATAAAATATATAAGGTCATACACCATAATGTATTATTTTTGAAACAATTTTTTTCCCCAAATCACATTAGACATCACAATGGATTTTGGCTAGACCCAGAGACTCCACCCACTCTATCTCATCCTTCTTCAGAGGAAATCTGGGATAGAACTCAGGCCCTGTCCTTTGGTTAACAAAGCAAGCGCATTCTTTCTAGAAATAGGACAGCAAAAGCAAAGGAAATAAAAAGAAAGGGTGAAACCCGTAACAAGCAATAAAAGCCATATAAGGAGCTGTCTGTGCTAAGACTCAGAAGACAGGACTTATGTGCCCTCCTATAGTGCAGATATCCTGAGCCTCCCCAGCATCTGTAACTTAGTCTCCTGTTCCTGTTCTCACACCTCCCTTCCCAGGTATTTTCCAAGAGCTCCCAGCAAATTCTCACTTTTGCTCTCCCCTGTGCCTGTAAAGTTCTTCCGTTATCTGCATTCAGGTTCTTCTCAAATGTCACTTCCTCAGAGGCCTTTTAAAACCTTTGTATCTAAACAACTCCAGTCCCACTCTACCCCCACCACTCTATCTTCCTGCCCTATTTTACTTTTTTTCATAATACTTATCAGTATCTGCCATTATATCACATTTACCTGTTTATTAGCTTACTACCTATGTCTGGTATTTGCTTCAAAAATAATGAAAATAATCAGGAGAGCAGACTGAATTCAATAGCACATTAAAAGGATTATACACCATGACCAAGTGGAATTTATTCCTGGAATGCAAGGATGGTTCAACATAAGAAAATTATCAATGTAATACATCACATTAACAGAATTAAGAATGAAAATCACATGATCATCTCAATTGATGTATAAAAAGCATGAGACAAGATTCAACATCTTTCATGATAAAAACACTCAACAAACTAGAAATGGAAGGAAACCATGTCAACATAATAAAGGTCATATATGAAAAGCACACAGCTAATATTATATTCAAGGGTGAAAGACTGAAAACTTTTCCTCTAAGATCAGAACAAGATAATGATACCTGCTCTCACCATTTTTATTCAACAGAATATTGGAAGTCCTAGCCAGAGCAATTTGGCAAGAAAAGCAAATAAAAGGCAACCAAATTGGAAAGAAAGAAGTAAAATTATCTCTGTTTGCAGATGACATGATCTTATATTTAGAAAACCCTAAAAAATCGACAAGAAACAAAAAACAGAACTAATAAATGAATTCAGCAAAGTTGCAGGATACAAAATCAACACACAAAAATCAATTGTGTTTTTATACACAAACAATGAACAATCCAAAAAACAAAATTAAGAAAACAATTCCACTTACAATTGCATCAAAATAATACAATAATTAGAAATAAAACCTAACCAAGGAGGTGAAAGACTTATACACTGAAAACTAAAAAACATTGCTGAAAGAAATCAGAGAAGACACAAATAAATGGAAAGGTATCCTATGTTCATAGACTAGAAGACCTAATATTGTTAAGATGTCAATACTACCCAAAGCAATCTTCAAATTCAATACAATCCCTTTAAAAGTTCCAATGGCATTTTTTGCAGAAATAGAAAAATCCATCCTAAATTTCACACTGAATCTCAAGGGAACCCAAATAACCAAATAATCTTGAAAAAGAAAAACAAAATTGGAGGCCTCACACTTCCTGATTTCAAAACATATTACAAAGCTACAATAATCAAAAGAGTGTGACACTATCATAAAGACAAATATATAGACCAATGGAGAACCCAGAAATAAACCCTCAAATATATGATCAAATTTTCTTTGACAAAGGTGCCAGGATCACTCAATAGGGAAAGTACAGTCTCTTCAACAAATGGTGCTGGGGAAACTGGATATCCACATGCAAAAGAATGAAGTTGGACCCTTCTTTATCTTAGACTACATACAAAAGTTAATTCAGAGTGATTAAAGATCTAAATTTAAGATCCAACTACAAAACTTCTAAAAGAAAATATAGGGGGAAAGCTTCAGGCCATTGGATTTGACAATAATTTATTAGGTATGACACCAAAAGCACTAGCGACAAAAGCAAATATAGACAAATGGGACTACAACAAACTTAAAAACTTCTGTACATCAAAGGGCACAATCAACAGACTGAAAAGGCAACCTATGGAATGGGAAGAAATACTTGCAAAGCATATATCTGATAAAGGGCTAATATGCAGAATATATAAAGAACTCCTACAACTCAATAACAAAGAAACAACCCAATTAAAAAATGGGCAAAGGACTTGAATAAACATTTCTCAAAGATGATATACAAATGACCAAGAAGTAGATGTTCAACATCATTAATCACTAGAAAAATGCAAATCAAAATCATAATGAGATATCACTTCACACCCATTAGGATAGCTACTATTAAAAAACAGAAAAGAAAAGTGTCGGAAAGGGTATGGAGAAATCAGAACCCTTGTGCATTGTTGGTGGGAATGAAAAATGGTCCAACCACTATGGAAAATAAGATGGCGGTTCCCTAAAAAATTAGAAATAGAACTACCATGTATGCCAGCAATCCCTCTTCCGGGTATACATCTGAAAGAATTGAGAGCAAGGCCTCAACAAGGTATTTACACACCCATATTCATAGCAGCATTATTCACAATAGCTAAGAGATGGAAGCAATTTAAATGTCCACTGATGGATGGATAGGTAAACAAAATGTGGTAGAGACATGCAATGGAATATTATTCAGACATAAAAAGGAAGAAAATTCTGTCACATGCTACAACATGGATGAATCTTGAGGGCATTATGCTAAGTGAAATAAATCAGTCCCAAAAAGACAATACTGTATGATTCCACTTATATGATGTATCTAAAGTAGTCAAATTTATAGCAACAGAAAGTAGAATAGTGGTTACCAGGGGCTGGGGGAAGAGAGAAATGGGGAGTTGTTTTTTAAGGGGTAAAGCGTTACAAAGATCTGCAAGATGAAAAAACTCCAGTGATAAGTTGCACAACAATGTGAATATACTTAACACTAATGAACTGTACACTTAAAATGGTTAAGATGCTAAATTGCATTTTTTTACCACAATTAAAAATAATAAAACAAAAGAAATGCAATCTCTCACAGTATCCTTAGCAATAATTAATACTAATTTTTTTAAACACAAGCAAGGGGGTGAGGGTGTAGATGAACCAAGAGTGGGCACAGGTTAATAATTGTTAAAGCTGAATTATAGGTTCATCAGGGTTCATTACACTAAACTATTCTCTCAACTTCTGTATATTTCATGCACTTCTGATACATAGACCAATAAATCTGGTTGACGTATAAATTTTTAACTATATTATATGCTTATAACCAAGGCCTTTCACTAACTCATTAATACGGCAGGAAACACAGCACATCCTTTCCACTCAATCCTCTCTGAACTAAAATGAAACTATTAACATTTCAACATATCTTGGTGAGTCCACAGTTATATACCTACAAGACAAGCCTTGTGATATCAAATGAAAGCATTCTAAAAAGAAGCAGTAAGTTTTTTGAGGAGCGTTAACGTTTACCATATATTATAGCAAATAAATTTCTATACTCGAGTACTGCATTGGTTTGAAAAGGAAATACTCATTAAACTCAGAATGCAGCAAGCCAAAGCAGTTATAGTAAAAGTCAAAATATAGCTGTTTCTAAAGAATAAATATAACATTCTAACACAAAGCAGTTATTTCACTAGGTAGACCTAACTGGATGATAACTTTAAACTCTAAATCAATACAAAGGAAATCACTTAAAAGTTTGACAGTGACTCCCTCATTTTAATATCAATTGCAAATTCATAACTTCTTTAGAAACTATATGACATTATAAAAAATTTTAAAAGCAATACATGTCCAGTGTAGAAAATCTGTAATACACTTATGTTTATATATGAAAATAGAGATGACATATAATTCCACCATATGGAAAAGACCACTATTAAAAATTTTTTATATTAACCTCTAATCTCTTTTCTGTTAAAAAGTCTAATCAAGATTTTTTTTTAAAACCTGAATGAGTCCAACAGCTGCATCATTTATTCAATATTTAGGATAGAAAGTCAGCTGAGAAGAAATTTATAGATGCAAATTAAACAAGTAGACTTTAAAATATATGCAAATCCATATAAAATATTTATATTTAAGGGAGAGACTTAACAGATCACAGATAAAATGATTTGCCGACCAGTTTTAGCCTAAAGGAAATTTATGATACATTATCCAAAAGAAAAATATACAAGACGACAGCAAAACTTTCATAGAAAACCACTTAAAACCAAGAGGAGTCATGCTGAACAAAAGCACCTATTTCACAGACCTTAACAATTTTGGTGTCATAGACCCCTTTAAGAATCTGATGAAAGCAATGGACCCTCTTTCAAAAATTACATGTAAGCACATATTCAGAAAAATTTACATTTATTTTCAGGGAGCTTCACTGATCTCTTCTTTACAAATACGGAGTCCATGAACCCCAAGATTAAAAAAACCCTAAAATAAAGAGAAGCAGAAAGAGAGTTTTGCCTTGTACATAATGTTTATAAAATAAGTATTGAAGAACTGTCAGAAGATTGGATAATTTATTTAATAA